GTATTCCCAAGTATATCGAAATAGTATATAATGGTGTTCAATAGCCCTCATACTACCAGTCTGACTCATTTTTCGCCCATACTCTAAAATTTGAAAACATTTTGCTAGTTCTTGAGTTTCCGAAGCAACTAGCATGTCTCACAAATTGACACATGTTATTGAATTTAAAAAGAAATTCATTTCTGTTTTTAATATTATTGCAAGCCTTCGGTACAATACCATGTTTTCAGTATACAGAGATGGATATGCGGCTATGAGTCTTATCTTTCTTTATTCACACCCTTATCTGACCCGAACATGGTCAATTTTTCTGCTCGACAGTATACGTCCTTCCATTATCAGTATATTAACAGAGTAATCAACATGAGAAAGATGAATTATGCATGAAAATTTTTAATCGAATTCTTTAATGAATAAACATATTCTACGATTGATGAGTAGAAAACTGAAGAAATATGATGTAAATGAAGAAAATAATGACACTGTATATGATACTTAGCTACTTCTAAATAACAGTCATTAGAAATATCTACTCGACTAAATCAGACATAAATCATGATATATTGTTATTTTACTCACTGGTCATCTTATAATTAAATAATTTAAAGAGTAAATTCAATTTTAAATGTAATCTGCGAAAACAACTTTATTTTGATGAACTAAGTGGTTATCTGCAGCTATAGGCCGATGTCATGTTAGACGATTACTACGTTTATTGAATTATGTAATCTCTACTAATAAAGAAATCTTTTGATGAATTTCTAATCGTATAATAGCACTGTCTAAGATTTTTTTTTGCCAATATTTTCGTAAAGACAATGGGTGACTATCTATTACAAAGTTAAGTCGATCTTTCATTTCGAAGTTCTCTAGTAGAATTGTTTCTTGACACAATCATGAAAAATATTTAATGCTATCATTTTAATTCGAACAAAATATAGAGGAACTCGTTGATTAGAAAGTAAGACTCTCTCACAACATTCAATCATGATCGATTTAATGTTATACTGAGAGTAGATATAAACAAAACTATGTAGTGTCTACAATCAAATACATTTGAATAACATGAATAAATATAATGTTCGACAGTGTTTTTTCATAAAAGTCCAATAGTAGTTTGTTTAATTCTGCAAAAATCGTTTTTTTTTTGTATCGCAAAGCAATTAAAAGCACATTAACAGAAAAAAAAAGTCTTGCTATTTGTTTGTGGAACTCGCTATAAATCAAGGCGAAAACATATAATGTTGTGTGTAATTGCACAACATGAATACGAATGCAAATGAAAGTATAGTATTTCTTTTTTTTGAAAAACTCGGTAGAGAAGGCTATAATGTCTCGATTACTTCGCTTTGTAAATCAATGGTAGATTGTTTTGCCTCAGACAAACATGTTGCGAGTTCGATTCCCGCCAAAGCACCCATCCAATCGAACACGCAATCCATCTCTACCTTTTTTTTTTAACTCGCAAACTATCATATAAATTAAAATAAATAATAAAAAAAAAAGAAGGACATTCTATTTTGAATTTATATTTCGTAATGAAACGAATACATACAATATGACGAAAAAACAAAATAATTTAAAATGATTCTGCTGACTTTATTTTTCAAAATCAATCTGAAAATATTTTTTTCTCTATATGACGTTTTCAAATGTATATAACCAACATTTTTTAGATGACGACAAACAATCTATGGATGTTATTTGTATTTTTTCAATATATATATATTTTCAAGGAAATATAATTCATCCAAATATTCGATAAATGTATATATTTACGTACAAGATCTGCTTTGTTTCTTTCCCTACTGGAAAACCTTAACAATGTAAGAACAACAAGCTAGAAACTGTTCAACCATGTTATTGTGAGATCAAATTAAGGTCTGTTTCGCTCTGTCACAATCGTTTTTCGTTATAAAGAAGACGATTTTTTCAATAAAACTAATTCAATGTTCTCTATCAATGAATAATCGAAAGACATATTGCTTCAAAATGATATTAAATAGAAACAGGTTTTTTCAATATCATATCCGTTTACCTTAAATATGTATTCCACAGGTTTACCAAGCTTTTCGACTGAAGATTGAGGAATCTCGAAAATTACTCAATTTCTTCTAATTTAACTGAAGTTTGTGTTGCAAAAAACTAACAAATTTATGATTTTCGACGAAAAATATCAGAAGATGATGTGTGAAACAGTAGATTACAGCTTTTCATACAGATATCATGAAAATTCAAAAGCGTTTGTTTTGTATTCTAATTTGACGAGATTCTAACAAAAGAAAAACAAGGATATATTGACACATTTATTTTGTACCTAAAAGATTTATCAGGATTAAAATGATAGATTATGTAATTTTCATAGAGTAATTGAAGAAAATAAAACGAACAATTTCCTTTTTACACAAGTATCATTCAAAACTTTTGTAGATTGTGGAACTTGAATAGATAGAACAATTCGAATAGCGTTACTTGGAAAAACTGGATAACGTCAATGAAGAACTTTTTTGTTTTATTATATTTCAATTCCTATAGTAAATTTCTTAAAAATTCTATTGTGTATAGATAGAGAACAATTAACTATTTTCATTGGAGACATCATCTTTTTTTTTAATGTAAAATGATTGTGACAAAGCAAATATATAATTGATTTGACGTTTTTTTTACAATATAATCATCATTTTCCTGTGTAAATGAATTTCTTGGATAATATATAAATAAAAATAAATGTCGACAGTTCGGTTAACATTAATCTTCTTCAGAACGTTGTTACTACATTGAAATAAATGATCTTCATTTTCACTGTAAATATACTTTCTGTCTTTTCGTATGATAATGATACCGACGAGAAGATATACCATGTCTTTTCCTATCAGTTTTACTGTATTGTTTAGTTCGTAAGAATATTATTAAACAAAATAAAAAGAGAATGAAGTATAGATATAGTTGAAATAAACATCGTGTATGTGTGCGTGAAATAATAACATTGTGAACAAGGTCAATGCAAATCGAAATGTTAACATTGATCTTCGACTAGAATAATTTTAGAAGTACATGTACTAAGATAATCTAGGTCAGTGATGAAGGTGAAACAAACTGAGTTAGAGTAGAAATGAATGTTAGAAGTTGTTTTAATAAGTTTTTTGATTTTCTATTCATTGTCTACAGATATGATCGAAGTCGATTTTTGATATCAAGCAAGATTCTGAAATTTCGTTTGTCTACTAATTATAAAAACTTTTTCGGAAAAAGCCGAAATTTTAACTTTGTTTTTGAAAAATAAAAAAAAAAAAATGAGAATTAATTTAAAAATGTGTATAAAATTCTCAAAAGTTTTATTTGACACAGCACAACAATTAAATCAATATAATTTGAGCTGAAATATGTTTACACAATTTTTATATTTATTTCCATTGAGTTATTAATTTTTAACAATAAGACATATTTACAGATGAATCAAAAATAGTCTTAGATTGTTATATGAAAATTTTGATTGACTAGTAGTATGATGTGGTGTGTAGATAGTCATTAAGATCTTCTGGCAAAATAAAATTTTACTTAGAACAAAATAGTAATCGAATTTGAATGACATAAAGTTCCTCATTTAATTTACGAGTAATTACCGAAAAAGTTTAATATTTTTGGTTTTGAAATTTTACTGCGTTAGAAAATATTCAGATTAGTCTTTCAACAATGTTTTACTCTAAAAATCATTCAATAGATACATTTATCAAACGAACATTGAATTGTATAACATATACAATGTGTTTTACTCAAAATTTGAAGAGAATATTATGCCTTCTTAAGAATAATATTATTTTAGAAAACAAAGTACTCGTTCAGGATATTGATGACGTCAATATAAAATGTCAGAGAAAAGTTAAAAGAAAAATAATACGGAAACAGAAAAATGCAATGGAAAAAATGACGTCAGTGATTATAAATTAATCTTTCTTTGGTTTATTTAACACTTTGAAACTTAAGTCTGTGCGTCAATTATTATTATTGATCGACAAGAAGAAGAAAAATTTTTTCAAAAACATTCGGATAAAATTTCTGATAATCAGCTAGTCGTTCTATGATCTGCTTGCACCAATGATAAAGAAGAAAAACCACTATGACACAAATATTCACAAAAATGCAGTATATTTTTTCATGATTTACTTCTACAACTAAGAATGAAAATGTTCTACTAAAATTAATGGTTGCAAATAAATCAAATGAACAGAAAAAAAACACGCAAACAGGAATGAAACTATGATTATATATAATTCATGATATTTTGATAGTCTTTCTTTAATTAATTTGCAATTTCACACGTTAGAGTTTCTTTGTCAATATTACTAAACTAAGAACAAGTAAAAGAAAGACACGGTAGGAAACAAAAAAAAAAACATCTGTTATTGTAAATTTTATCTATGGAATTTCAAATATAAACATATTTTCTTCATAGAAATCTAACCCAAATAATAGAATAAAATTGTATGCTCAAGATTTCTCGAATATAATATATCTACGTTCATTCTCACCAAACATTTCGGATTATGTCGCATGTATATTTAACAATCGATCCTCTTGGTGAAGCAACATCTACTTGTCGTTATCATATTCGCGAGAAGATATTGTCGCTACGTGACAATTACAAGATTAAAGACGAATCGGATCAAGATGTCTTCATTGTTCGAGCAAAACTGTTAACACTTGCTGACAAAATTTTTTTGGAAGATATGGCTGGAAAGTGAGTTCATGTCTTAGTTGCATGTTTTCTATGTCAAATTAATAGAGTGAAAGTTGAGGATACCCATGCATATTAATTATAGCAATATATTTAATCATTGAATAATATATCATAGGAAGAATATAAAATTCAATTGATTGTTCTCTGTAATACTATTCGAACAACTGAAAGATGTGTACTGATAGTAAATCATCATTCTCTAGTGATTGTTGTTCGATATTTGCTATTCCAAACAATCTCTATTTTTACTTTTAGTATCCTGATGAAGATTGAAGAAGACCTACTTCATTTTCGTTCAACATACAAAATATTGTCAGCACGTGATGGAGATGAGGGTCGTCAATTAGCATTAGTCAAGAAGAAATTTTCATTGCATGATAAATACTCAATCGATTCAGTTTATGGAGAATATAAATTAGAATCATTGGATTTGTTAGGTCATTCATTCACATTAACAAAAGAAAGACGCACAGTGGCTATTGTAAGTAGAAAATGGATTACTTTGGCTGGTATTTATGGAGCAGAAATTGATGCTAATGAAGATCAAGCATTTGTCATAGCGTTGATAATTATCATTAATCAAGCATTGTATTCTTTCTAATTTTTTTATATCGATTTCAGTGATAATGAGCTTAACGCTAAATGTATAAAACTGAAAAAGGAGAATGAAACATGTTTGTCTTATATTTTGTATTTTATGACGGAATGTTGTTGTTTTTGTCTGATGATTATTTGATTGTAGTGCTTTGAAAGTTTATATATTGTCATTCTGATAATAAAATGAATATGTTCGTTAAAGTAGTACAGTGTATATCTAGTTTTGTGTGATTGATATCATCTATAAAATGAATGGTTTGCTATGGTGTAAAGAATAAAATCATATAATCGATGATTCAATTCTTAGATCGTTGATTGCTTATAATTGAAAACCAATAACAAGCAACTTTGGATTGTGACTGAAGATTGAACAAAGGTGAATAAGAAGACATGAGTATAGAGGAATAGGATCGATGGGACATGAAAATTGTTTATGTCAATTTTCAGTATGCGTTGGTCATTTTTTTCCGATTGATCAAGTCAATGGTCAAATCTCGTACTCATTTCAATTGTTCCATCAATGGTCAATCAATTACTGTTGATTATTCAATGTATATAAACATGATCTCTATTCAATATGGAGACCAGCAGTTATGATTATATGAGCAATTTCTGCTATCTGGGCAATATTAATTATTGCTAATGTTTTCACATACATCTTCAATTTTTTAAAATATTTTAACTTTAATAATTTAGGATAGAGTGTGGCTATGGTTGTGCACACGAGCCATGAAAGTAGATATTGATGTTTGTGGATGGGTTTGTGAGTCATTCTCATTTTTTGCTTCGTGAAGTATAGTCACATTTTTCTTTTTTGTTATCGTTACATTCTTTGTGCATCTGCCTCTCTAAGTCGATACGAGAGTACTGATGGCAGAGGCAATTAATATTGATCCTAATGAGGATCTTCAGTCTGGAAAGGAATATGAGACACTGGAACAAGGTTCTATATCAAATGTTCAAGTTGAACTTATATCAAGATTTTTATCGGAGTGTCCGCAAGCAGCTTTAAATGTACACAAGTACCTGCAGAAAAATTATTCAAAGTCAAATCAGCAACAACAACAACTCATGCAACCAGTGAATTCAACACCGAAACGCGGTCATCCACTAGATGAAAGCGGAGGTTCGATCAGCAACGGAAGAGGTCTCCGTAAATATCCTCGAAGGGGTATTGACAATAATGCACATAAGCACTCACATAATGTACAACCAGAAATGAATTTACAAACACAGCAACCATCGTCTTCGATGTCGTCAGATGTAAGACAACATCAAGAGATAAATCAAGATAATACGAATCGTAAACGAATTTCTTTTAATCAACTGAAGCACGCGGTATCGTCTAATTTACCATGTTTCTTCATTGAATTCACCTCGGATGCGGATCGTAATAGTATTCCAACAGCTCTTCATGCAAGTGATCTTATACTGAAAGAACTGCAAACCAATGGTGTTTTAATCAATAGATTTACATTAGTAGGATGGGCAGGAAAAAAGCTAAAGTTAGGTGTTAATAATAAAGAAGATTACGCTACTCTCGTCAGTTCGGATAAATGGCCAACAAAGATAAATGGAATTGATATTGTGGTCGTGAAACCAAAATATATACCAGATTCATTCACTCTCGTCGTCCGTTATGTACCTAGGGAATTAGATGAAAATTTTGTTTCAAATGAAATTCAGCGAACAATTGCTTCTGCAGATCGTATTAAACGTATTCATTATTCATACCAAAGAAGAACAGATGATTATCGATTCGAAGTGAAAGATTATCGTGAATATAATGCTGTGTTGCAACTGGGTCGAATTGCAATAGGTCATTCGTAGTTATCGATCACCAAGTTTTATCCGGGAAATCGTTTAATGTACTGCACGAAATGTTGGCGTATTGGTCATTTAAGGAACAAATGCAGCTCAGAAAGCAAATGTCGTATTTGTCTTGAAAGTCTGAATGTCAATACTCCTCATATGTGTAAAAATGTACCGAAATGTGCTCAATGTGATGGAGATCATCATTCGTTGGATAGTCAATGTCAAGTTTTAAAAGAATATAAAGATCAATTAAAGGAAGATGTCGAAGATGCCATACAAAAAGGACTATTACAGCGATTCTCACCGCCAGAAAAAGCACCTACATTTGAACGTCGAGAGCAAGACTTTCCACCATTAGCAGCAAGTGATAATCATTCCAATAAAAAATGGAATACTGCGCTACCACGTACAACTGCTGAGTCGAATGACTTACGAGCATCATATACTGATAAAACAATTGAATCCATCAATGATAATCTGACAAAACTAATCGATAGTAACAAACGGCTTGAAAATAAAGTTGATCTAGTATCATCAAGTATAAAAACCGTTACTCTTGATATTCAGCTACATCAAGCAGTCTTAGCAGATACTATCAATATTATGAAAGACTTCATGCAATATGTTATACCAGCATCGTTAACTGCTAGCAAAGTTGAAAGATCATCATTGGTACAAGTCACGAGCGAATACTACAAACGCCTTCATGTCGCGTCCTCAAGATTAATAAATGGTTTCCAATTAAATCAGCAAGTTGAACTGTTTGTGCATAATACTAACATTGATCAACACTCTGCATCAGTTCACAAATCTTCACAGAATGATAAGTAGAACGTCAGATCTTAATGTACACGCTAAAGTTTTCTTTCCAGCTTCAGAGAATTATTCATTTAGTCCTATAGATGAAGCTATGCACCGGCTGAAAACTTGGAATTTTGCACCTAAAGATCAGAAATTAGTATTATCTCTTTTAGATGAATGGTACACGGGTAGAACCTTGAACACAGTCTTAGAACAATGGGGAAATGTTGGAATAGCTCCTTCACAAACCCAAAAAGAACATATTAAGATCCTATGTTATAATGTCGAAGGTTGGGGTACGCGTGTGCTTGAAGCTATTGATTTAGTGTATCAAATTCAAGCTTCTATTGGTATATTTACTGAAGTTGGTGAGTTATGGAACATGAGCCGATTACCACATTTTAACACGTTCTATCAAAAGGGAACTAACAAGAATGGAGGAGTATGTATAGCAGTAGGGAAGCATCTGAAAGCGACGCGCATCGAGGTTAACATTCCGAACACAGTTGTCATTGATATAACAGGTCTATCAGAACCAGTACGTATCATTGGTATTTACTGGCCCACTAGTCAAGAGCGTGATCTTGATGATATCTTGCCTTATGTCGTAGAAGGTACCATACTATCAGGTGACTTTAATGCAACAGTCAAGGAATGGAATAGTCCAATAACTGATAGAAGAGGTGCGCACGTGAAAGAATGGATTAATGAAAATAATCTCAATTATATTCCATCAACGTCCAACTCATCTAAGCGCTCTCTACGTAATATAGATTTGTCGTTCTCTAATATGAGTACTATTTCAAGCGAAACATTGTTTTTTGGCACTAGCGATCATTGGCCGATTGTGTTATCGTGTGGGAACATTTTTTTCGATATAAACAGTTTTTTTCCTCATACAAATTGGAAGGCATTTGAAGCAGTAATAACGCTATTACAAACATTCTGGATGAGAGAACAAAAGAAAAATAGTGTTGATGAGTGGTACAAACAATATATTCGTTTCATCGCGGCTGTCAAAAATAGAGTGACTCATTGGAAAGAGAGAGATAAATATAAACCATCATTACCGAAGTATATCATCGAAAAATTAAAAGAAATACGAAAAGTGAGAAATAGATATTATCATTTAAGACATAAGGGAGTTTTTAATGAGGAAGCGAGGGTGCTATTACGTACAATGACGAGAGAGACCAAAGTTGAAGTTGCTAAATACAAAAATGCTCAATGGCAAAATTTTTTGGTTAACATTCAAACGTCTTACGATAAATCAGATAAAGCGTTTTGGACACACTTATCTCGCATTCACAAATCGTGTACGCTGCCTTTTTATAAACTTTCGGATGGCTCTAAAATAATATCAACTCAACAAGAAATCACAAACGAACTATATCAGTATTACAGTGAACAGTTTAAAGCATCTGCTCTGGATTGTTATAATGTACATGAAACTCAGTTAGACATGGAATATAAAGAGTTGCTAAATAAATTATTAGTATCAAAAGATAAAGTCGAAAAAACTAGTGTTTGGGAAATCTCACGATTAATCAAAACGTTAAAGCCAAAGAAGTCAGCAGGTTTTGATTTGGTGTCAAACTTCATAATTAAAAAACTTCCTCCAAGTTACATCGAGTGCTTAGCAAATTGCTTTAATGTATGGTTAAACGAATGTTGTTATCCAGATGACTGGAAAATTGCTAAAATTATAACCTTAAATAAGTTGAAATCGGGTATCCCAAAGTGTGAACAAACTCGTCCGATATCCTTGTTAGCTACACATTCTAAGCTGTTCGAAAAAGTGCTCTTACTAAGAATTAGACACTGGGCTGAAACAAATCGTTTAGTACCCGTAGAACAATCGGGGTTCCGTCCAAAATGTCTTCTACCTACTCGCGTTCTGTCAATATATCAGGAAGTCAAAAATAACATGGCAGCCAATATTCCGACACTAGCGCTTTATGTCGATTATCAAAAGGCTTATGATCGTGTATGGCATGCCGCTCTTCTGTGTAAACTAGATAGACTGGGTATGCCTCTCAACTTATTGAAAATGATTGATAGTTGGTTAAAAGATAGAAGAGCTTACGTAGAATATGGTGAAATAACTTCGAAAATATTTAAGATACATATAGGACTTCCACAGGGCAGTAGTCTTAGTCCATACTTATTTATAGTGTTTCATTCAGATCTAACAAATTACCTGGGAGCTCATTCATGTCATCTATTTGCAGATGATCTTTGTGTATTAATTAGTCCTCCCATTATGAGAAACTTAGACCCGATGATTGAATACTTAAAAAAAGAAGGTACACGAATTTGTAATCAGGTTCTTATATATTCAAAAAAGTGGAAACAACCGTTAAATGTTTCGAAAACTGTAGTACAACTTTTTCATACACAAGTAAAAAGACCGATAGTAAATGTAACGATAGACGGAAACAAAATCGAATTAGTTAGAGAATTCAAATACCTAGGTTTTACCTGGACGGATAAACTATCGTTGAAACCAACAATCGAAAAAGCGATAGGAAATATTCAGAGATCGCTAGGAAAACTAAAATGGATGAAATCTGGTCGCGAAATGTCATGTAAAGCTCTCCGGCAATGTTTTTTCGCATTCACGTTCCCTCATTTCGCTTGGCTGTTTCCACTTTTTCCAATCCTCTCAGAATCTCAACAAAATATATTGCAACAACAATTCCGTGTGGAACTTCGGCTGGTGCATCGCTGCCCCTTCGTTTCTGCTCATAATCTTTTCAATATTACCTCAGAACAACCCTTAGAATTTTATATTAAAAAATATATTCAACGAAGACTAAAGACCATTTACACAACTGATCTTGGTTCTTCATTGTTCTATGAAGATATTTTTGTGTGGGATAACTTTTATAAAAGAAAAAACGATCATCTTGGGCACTTTTTTTGTTTACGTCGTATTCGGCAATTGAAAGATCGACACGAGTCTTCTCTTTTAAAATGGTTGTCCTTTGTTGATGTGAATTAATGTCACAGAAAGACGCTTAAATGTAATGCTTATGCAATTTTCTTTTTTCGTTCTTGCTCTCTTTCTTATTACTTTTTATCTCGCGTTCGTTTCTCTTGGTTTGTTTTTCGTCTTCCTTCGAGTTGCTCGCTCTACTCACGTATCTCCGCTGCTACTCATCATCAGTACTTCTCTCACTATCTTCTTCTCTTTCTTTTACTCTTGGGTTATTTTTTTTTTCTTTTTCATTTATTTACTCTCTATATATCCCCATGTGCAGAAGTTGGTACTCAGTATAGCATATTGTTGGCACAATTGTAACGCTTTGCTTTAATGATACACCATTTCGCTTATACATCTATAATTCTCTCTTTTATTATGTAAGCACTTCCGAGTGTTACAGACACAAGCATAATAAAAAAAAAATGGGTTTGTGAGTGGTATGTAGGTGAGTATGGTTATGTGTGCCGAATTCGAATGTGAGTGTAGATGTAAGGTGTAAATGTGGTTGTAGATGTGTTGTGTGCCTATCACTCTAGATGTGGATATTGGTGAGGCCACAGATGTAGATGTGATCGCCATTGTGGATATGAGTCTTCTCTCCAGAGATATCTACATACATCGATACTTTAGTTTTATTTTTCTGTTACTATTGCCTAGTGTTAATGGTATAATAATATATAGGATAAAAGTTTTCCGCAAATTTCCTATCGATATATCTTTGCAACTACTTGAGCAATGTCAACAGATAAATAGGGTATGGGTGTGGTTGAGTGATGTGTGTGTGTTTCTTGTTCTGTTCTTAAACAACACACTGACATTCTCAATGTTGAATATAAACCACAATGATTATGTATGCCTAGATGAATCGTCTAGACAACAATAGATAAAAAAGCAAAACAATATCATATTTATTTCATATTATTTTTCTTAACACTTCGTATAGAATATAATCATTAAAATAATGATTTATTACGGAAAATATTTTTGCACACAATGAGAACAAAAATCTGTATCAGGACAAAAATGTAGTCGACGTTTGTGCTCAACAAATGTAAATTTTTTTTTACAAATATCACAATAAGCTACTCCATTTGCTTTATAGTACTCTTGACATGCTTTTTTGTGACTTTTTGATGTTTTTTCGAGTATTGTATAGAGAAAATGTATTTGTTCTGATTGTTGTTTGACTAATGCATTGAGTTCATCTATAATTGGTTGAATTTTTATTAATGGACATACACTAATGTGATTTTGTATTTGATCACGTCGTCCATTCCAATCACATTTAAGATGAGCTGCTGGACATGATATCATTACATTCATACAGTTTGTAATGTGATCTTTGAAATTACCTCGTTGAATATTAGTTTGCGAACACCATTTGCATTTAACAAGTAATTGATTTAGTTGATTGAGAAATGGGCGAATGGTAACAGGATGATAATCTTCTAATGTCAAATCACGACGACATGTTGGACATGTAGACATATCACGAAAAGTATCAATGATACATTTACGACAAAATGTATGTCCACATTCATTAGCACTGACAGGATCTTCAAGTGGATCAGTGCATATAGGACAGAGCAAATCTTCATGAATTGAGTCTTCATTCATATATTCATAGTTACCACTGGTTGCCATTTAAAACAAACGAAGAAATATGCTAATCTTTTATCTTACTTATATGTAAATTGAGAACCGACAGGGGATAAGTATGTTTTGATGAAAGAAAGGGGGCTGTCTCGTTTTTATATTTAACTTCTTTTCGTTCTGTACGTAAGAAACCCGAATGAGACAAACAGTCATTTTTATACGTTGGAATGTGCGCTTTTAACGCACAAAAAAAAATCATAAGAGAACGATTTTTATTTTTTTTATAAAGCAACTTTGTGGGTATCATCGTCCTCAGATTCGCTTTATTTTTCAAAAGAAAAACCTTGTTTCAAAATGTAAAAAGTGCACATTTTAACATGTAAAAATATGTTTTTTTTTTTAATCGATATTATGTGAATGAATAGAGGCGTATTGAAGAATATTAGTAAATGATTACAAGTTTAATGTAAAAGACATGTACTACGTAGTTCAATTATTATGCGAATATGGAAATAAAAAGATGTGTACACCAATATTTTATCTGTTGATGTTTTGAAAAAAATCAGCAAGAAAAATATTGTTGTTCATTTAGCATATATCGATCAATTTATTTGATATTATCTACTTTAGCTAGTAGCAAAAAAATAATCATTTTAATGTAACTAGTTATAAAAAATCTTTATATTGTATTGAGTGAATTTAATAGGTATGAATTTATGCATGCTATGTGAAAGCGAAACGAAATAAATTGAATGAAAGATGACGAACAATTCAATGTCTGATTGGTAGGATAAAATGTTTTAATAAAAAGCGTGTCCATTCTAGAGAATAGAATAGAAAACTTTGTCCTGTACTCATCTATGCTTGATAAATGTTGTTCCATACAAAGCAAATGATGCCTTTTCATAAAGACGACGCTTTTAATTTTCAATCTTTTGAATCCGTTAAATGACAGTTTATTATGTCGATGAGAAATTATCTATACATTTAACATAAAAAAGAAACGAAAATATTAAAACTTTATTGGAATAATCTAAAAGAAATTAACGAGCCAAAAATCGATGCATAATGCAATGATACTTTTTTATCCTATACCATGAGATATCAATCATGAATGAGTAGCATCATTGATCGTCCATGATTCTCTGTCGTGTGTCCTGCTGTCACACGCTTGAACTAACAACAATATGATGTTGGAATGTCAATGATGTCCACATATCCAATTTCTGTTAAATAATATTTACTGTACGCATCAATTGTTCCAAACAACGATAAAATATAGCATATATCCAATACTAAATATATGTTAATTAATAGATGTACCTGTGACTCTATTTTCATTCAGATTTCTTCTCAATCAATATGATTTTTATCGGAAAATACAATATGACATAGACAATATCTGATTCAAGCAAATACTATGATTAATATACGATTTTCTTTATTTACAATCTAAAAATAGAACATTCTATTTTAATGTACTTCTATTGACTTGGATCATCTTGAAGATTGATGGATAACAGATAATTCAACCTTTTTAAAGGTGTTATTTGTAAGAGTAATGAGTCGAGAAAAATATACTTATACTTAGTAAGTTTTCTCGAATGTTACAATAGACTGTTACCTTTAAAATCTCTAATACTTTTAGTAAAATTTTAGTTCTACGAATATATGATTATTAAGTGACTTGTTGTTTTACTTTAGTTGATATATGAACCGTAAAACATCTCTACTATAAAATATCATGAGAAGCTTTCAGAATAACTACGTTGACATTAATTTTATATAATGAGCCTAGTGAAATTTAATATCTGGTTGATCAATCTTCGTTTAAATCATTTGAATTGAAAGATTTTTCAAATACAAGACAATGTTTAGTTTTTTTTAAATCATTGTCTTTTTCCTATTTGATTTTAATTCAAAAATTAATTCTATTATGTCCTTGCAAACTAAGTTTTCACCGTAATGTGTATTCGTAGATAAAGTGGTGCCTATCGAAAATACACATAAGAGATAGGGGATAGACAATAGAAAGAGGTTAAAAAAACAACATTCGACGTGAATGCAAATTGGAGATATTATAATAGCAAAAGAAATCGCTAAGAAAAAGTATTGACTGTTCAGATAAAAGAAGTATTAATACTAAAGAGAGGTATTTTCAGCAAAAATTGCTCCATTGGATCCGAGTATATTCATTGTAAAGAGATGTTTATTAGTAGAGTTTTTATTGTATAAATATTTTAACTTTCTTCTCATTTACACTGATGAATTCCGATGAAGTTTGAACAACAAATTTGTACCATTTAAAAACAAAGATTTATTAAGGAGAAAATGATCAGAGCATAGAAAATTGTAGAGGACTGAAATTTTATTAAATTGAGAAATTCTTATCTTAGTTTCTAATTATTGAAAGTTGCTCAATTGAAATATAATAAAATATTGAATAATATTTAATAAAATTTTATTCGTTTTTTCTCAAAACAAATATTATTTGATTGATTTATTTTTGTGCCAATCCATACCGAAACAGTTTTATAACCTTTCTGACATGTTGAATTAATAGTATTATCATTAAACCATTTAATTATTTCTTCAGAAAATTTTGAAAATCTTGTATCAAATTTGATTGTTATCAAATGATTGCATCGATCAAGAATCCTTTGGATTTGTTCAACCGTATTGATTGGTATTGATAAATGTTTAACATGATGTGGAATAATACTGTGTATATTATCTATTGATGAATTTAATTTGTATCTATAAAGACCAGTTTGAATAATAAGCGAAGAAAGATTTTTAGCTTGTTTAATAAAAATACGCATGTCCAGAAATGCATTTTGATTATAGTTAATAAAATAATAGCTGCGTAATGTCATGTGAACTATTTGAGATATATTAATCAATATGGAAAGAGATTGAAGAGAAAATAAAGGCCATTCTTCGTATAATTCAATAGCGACTTTTGTCACTTTGGGAAACAGAAGTTGATTTATTGTTGCTTCCTGAAAATATTCAAATGTAAACATTGTTTTACTTTGGATAAAGTCAATATTATTTTTAATAATATTTCAAGACATTTTTATGTTTATCTTCAATTTATTATTTACAAAAATTTTATTGAATTAAAATTAATTTAAGTATAGTAAATAAATCTCATAAAAGATAACTAAAATAGTTACTATTTATTTAAATATTATTCAAAACCTTACAAAATTAAGTTTACATGAATACATTGTTTGCATGGTGTGATGCTATTTAAAAAAAATATTATAAAACTGTAAAAATTTTGTGTATCCAAGCGAAAAAGATATGATTAGATGATACAGTGAAATATTCGAACAATGTTTGTTACTAGTACCCAACATTACCATTTAGTCTGATGGAAATCTTTTCAAATTGTTACGATTTTTTTTTTTTCATAAATAATGAATATTATTGAGCAAAGTCTAATAGATAGATTCTATTGTTAACCATTTACTGATCATCGCTAATGGAAATTGCTATTTTTAGAAATATTGCGAAAAATACAAAAATCGTGATATTAAACAACTTCTTACACAAATGCGTGTAGAAATTTTCCTAAACTACTAGAAAAAGAAAAGATCTATTTTTCTTAATTGGTTTTGTTTTTTTTTACTTACGAAAAATCTAAATCTATATCTTAATGATGTTTTGTATGATAAATATCGACGAAAGTTGCTACTATTCAATAAAATTTATTTGAAAACTTTAACAAAAATTAGTTGGGTAAGAGATTATACAACATTAAATGATAACTCGAGTTATCAGTGGCGGGTAATGACATGAATAGACAAAAAGAAAGAAATTTAGACATTCTCGTCATAGTGTGATAGTTGTTTATATTTATAGATAAATAAATGAGGAGAATATACCTGCTATGTAAAGAAAGAAAAATGAATTTTGTTCTTTTTTTTATAATAGATAACAAAAGTTCATTCAAATAATAATATGTAGAATTCGATTTCAACTTGAAACAAATTGAAATAAATAAATATATATATAATTGTTTAGATTGAAAAAAATGAATAATATATTCAAACTAAATTGAATATATGAGATCTTATTATATTGTTATCTTTTTCAATCATCAGATCTTCTCTACTTTTGACAAGTTTCTGACAATTTAAGTATTTCGAAAGTTTTAGAATACTCCCATCGTATGATGCTACATATATATATATATACCAGAGATGTCCATCGCGGCTGAAAATCTGCCGCTGCCGCGCCGCGGCCTTAGAAAAAAAAAGCTGCCGCACCGCAGCCGCGCCGCGACGGTTTATAAAAAAATGTTGCCGCGCCGCGATGGTTTATAAAAAAAACGTTGCCGCGCCGCTGCCGCGATGAATTATAAAATAAACGTGCCGCCGCCGCGGCGGTTTACAAAAAAGTGTTTCTAATTTCACTGCTGCGACTATATTTGACCAGAGATATTGGTACTAGTCCATCAGATTCATTCAGTCTCGGGGTGTTTCATTTGTAAACCCTGAAATTCTATTAAATTCATGCAGTTTTTCAATGTCCCCCCAAAAACTCCTGCCGCTGCCGCGATGGTCTTTTAAAAAACCTGCCGCTACCGCGCCGCTGCCGCGATGATTTTTAAAAAATCTACCGCTACCGCGCCGCTGCCGCTGCCGCCACAGGCCATCGCGGCAGCGCCGCGATGTACATCTCTGATATATACATATTAAAATGTAAAATTCTAATTGAATAACATACTTTTTCTTGTATATAAGTAGTTAATGGTTTAGTTAAAGGCAAACTTAGATAATTGACATGATTGTCTATGAATTGATAATTGTCGATGGTAGTATTATAAGTGACAAGTGAATTTTTGTGTAATTCTATATCATAAGTTAAAAAATTTTTGCATATTGGTATTGAATAAAGAGAGACAGTTGTCGATCGTTTAATATCACATGCACAAATAACAAACCATTTTTTATATTCAATCCAAAATGGAGTTCGAAATGAAGTTATTATTAATTGAAGATCTTCTAAAGTTTTTGTAACTGGATCCCAATAATCAAAATAAAATTGAAATTTATTTAAATGAAGTAAATTTTTTTCAATAAATTGTTCCCATCGTTTTCCATCAAACATACGTTGTTCACTAATGAGTTTTAAATAAATAATTGATGGTGTTAATAAAAGAAATGATTCCAATTCATCTATATTTATATTAACTTTTTCCATAGTTAACGATGTTAATTGTCGAAAACATATATTATAACGAGATATTTGACTAAGATTTTTGATAATTTTACTAAATTTTTGTTTCAAAATAATTTTATTTAAATAAGGAGAAGATTGAAGTATTTTAAAAATATTCTCCATATTTATATCTTCATTAACAATTAAATATTGTATTGAACAATTGTATGGCCATGAAATTTTCCATAATCTATCATTTGTTAAATTAAATTCAATTTTTCGAAAATTAATTTGAGTTATTATTGATGTAAGAAGATTATTAGTTGTTTTAATACGTCTATCATCATATTTTTTAATAGTAAATGAAAATGAAGTAAGAAAATTAAGATTAATTCGTTTTAAAATAAAATTTAATTGATATTCATTTATATCAATAAGATTTATTGAAATAAGTCGAGTAAATTGACGAAGACGAACAAGTAAAATAAATAAATCTATTTGATTTGATGTTCGTTCTTCATTTGATAATGTCAATGATATAACATTAACTGGATTAATTAATCGACAAAGTAAATAAAAATTTGATTTTGAAACTAAAGTCAAATTGAAAATATATCGATCATAACTATTAACAAATGATCGAAATAATCGACATACATAACGAACTGAAAAAATAATTGTTTCTGTATTAAGATTATCTAATATACAATGAAATAATTCAACTGGTAATCTATCAATTGACATTGAAATAATAATTATATTCTATAATCGAATAATTTTAATAAAACATATTATAGAAAAAAACAAAACATCAATAGTCATATGTGCAATTATGCAAAAATAAATGCTTTTTACCTGTGGATACAAAACGAAAAAACAGAACGTAGAAAAGACATAATTACTTCTTGCTTTTGGCATGTAGAAAAACGTGAAAGAAGAAAAGCAAATATAAAAGTATCTGAATAAGCATTTCGAATCGAATGAGATGTCGCCATTTGTAACATATGGTTCTGGAAAGTGTTTTGTCTTTAAACTTTGATATCAAACAAGATCTATTGAATATGAAGAAAGAATTACTTCAAGATTATGCATTCATTTTCAAATTTATTCATTATATCCTATTTAATCACTTGTACTAATCGATTTTTCCTAAAAAGTTTATTGATGAGTTCAACAAACTCGAGCTTATAAATTCTTATAAGATTTTTCTGATGTGTAGAGGTGTGAGTGAGTCATTTTTGAATAAGTGAATTAAAATGTGTAAACTCATTCCTATTATTATCAATGTACATATGAAGCTGCTTAAGCATTGAACGTAGAAGCTTTATTGGAAAAAATTATAAGTTAATATTTCATCTTATCTTATTCCATAGATTGAGAAAAGTGGATAATATTGAGTCTTTCAGTTTTTGTTTTATTATATGTACTTGATTTAATTAATTATTGTTTGATTTTATCAATTTTTTTTTCATTTTTTCAACAATAATCCTAAATTTTGAATGATTAATAGTTCTCATATCATTCTCTGAAGAAATTAAATTATAGAGAAATTTTATTTCATTAAAAATCTAAATTCTCGATTTTTGAAAATTTAATTGAACCAAAAAATTTTTTTATCTTGTCTATTTCATCCATTGATGACATTTATATTTATGATTATTCAGAAAAAAAATCTTAAAGATTATTATTTAAAAGAGACAAAAATTAGTTCGATTCCAAACTAAATCTAATACTCTAATGTGTTTTTTATAGCATCTGTAAGCTCTAATTATGTTCGAATTATTTAGTATAAGTTTAGTAATAGATGTTTAACAATCATTTATAATCTTGTTTATTCAACCTGAATATTGAGAAAATAGAATAAGTATTATCTCAGGTCCACTGTTCCGATCGCCGGAACCGTTTGTTTCCTTTGTTTTCCGGCAGCGGATCCTATAGATTCCGTTGGTTTTCGGTCGGCTCCGTTGATTTCCGACGATTTCTTGACTACAGGATTCCGGTCCAGTTTCCGCCGGAAAAATTCCGTTAGGTTCCGCAAAATTTCGACCAGGAATTCGTCGGAACCGATGGAAACTGATCGGAACTGGTCCGACGAAATCTGAACCGGAATCCTGTAGTAAAGAAATCGTCGGAATTCAACGGAATCGATCGGTTCCGACGTACCGAGCTTGACCTGGGATATTGAAACAACAATCAATATGAAATCTATTTAAAAAAATATTCATTATGATTATCGAAATATAAAGTAAACAAAAAGAATTGTATCAGATGTAATCATAAAAATTTAGTGAAAAGATCATCAGATTTACAATTAAACGAATTGATATAAATATTGTTATTATCAATTGAAAACATTGTTAAGAATAATTTCATTTATCTATTCGTCAATCATTTAATCATATTATTTCTGTTTGTTTATTTATTTATTTATTGAGTATATCTATTTTATTCTCTTGTCAGATTTACCATTTATTCAGAATTATTTCATCAACAAATTAAAAATCTTTTCGTTTGTTCCTAATTAAAAAAAAAAAGAAGTAAGATAAATTCAATTTTCTTGGCAAGAAGAACGTATGAAATATTAATGAGTTAGTTAGTCGATTAATAGATCAAACATATTTTATATTCTGTTCGAAAAAAGTTGTTTTCTTGTTTTCGTTCTAACATAAACATAAAATAGATCTTTCAATATTAACTTTTTCGAAGCGTAATAAAAATATAATTTGAAATTGATATTAATATATCATGAGACTTGATAATACAATAGAAAAAAAAACGGGTGAATATTAAATTGTTTTCATTTCATTGTTGATAACATAAATAAAGAATATCAAGTGATAACCTATATTTATTTTCACAAAACAAAAAATGAAGATTTTTATTTATGGAAGTTTTATTCTTAGTTGGTTAAGTATTTATGTTTATTCATTTGGTCATTCATTATTACCACTTTTTTATCTTGATCCATCATATATAAATATAAATCATGGTTCAGCGCCCAAATATGTTCATGAAAAACTTCAAGAATATCAATTAGAAGCTGAACATAATTCTGATCGATGGTTTTGTTTAGATGTTCAAGTTGCAATGGAAAAATTACGACAAAAATTAAATAAATATGTTAATTGTGATCCAGATGATCTTGTTATAGTTGATAATACATCCGCTGCCATAAATTCAATTCTTAAATCATTAAAATTAAAATCGAATGAAACTATTTTATATTATAATGTTGCATATGGAATGGTTAAATTAACATTAGAATATGTTTTAACAGAAATTTTTACACAAGAACAAATTATTCAAATCGAACTTGATCATCAAACAATACAAAATACAGATTTATTATTAAAAAAAAAAAAAAACTCAAAATACAATAAATAAACTAAAAAATGTTAAATTAATTGTATTTGATCATATTAGTTAAATAGCAGCAATATTATTTTATATTAAAACAATGATTCAATTTTTTCGTTGTCAAAATATTTTAACAGTTATTGATGAGTTTCAATTTGTTGAAAACTTCAATCATCGAAAACTTAGTTCAAAACTATGTTTCAATTTGATAATAAATTTTATTATCGAATTAATGCACAAATATATATATGGAATTAAATTATTATCAAACTGTTGGGAAAATTGTTTTAGATACTATTTCAAACATGACATTTTTTTGCAATTTTAAAACAAAGAAAAGATCATTTTCACTCTGTTTAATCATTTTTTCACCATCGGTAGATTGTCATTGTTATATGATTCAAACCACAAGAAAAAACAACATCTGTTAACCATTAATAGACGATTCGATATAATGTGCACTTTATCGATCGTATGCATTGTATTTATCCATAGTCATAAAATAAAAATAGTAGTATTGCAAATAAGCATACGACATGAATTGCGTTGTGTATAAAGTGTAAGTCATATCTTCAGAGAGAGGTATTCATATAACCATCCTTATTAAATAAACATATTCATATATAATAAATATTGCTTGAATATATATATAAGATTAAAACAAGAGAAAATCAATGAAGATTTTCACGCTTCTTTATTTATATGTGCTTTCTCTTCATTTTAGTGTATCGATTCCTCTTGATATTAAGCTAAAATAGGATACGAAGTAATCATTGTTGTTGAGAATTTATTTTTTCATTTGAACTACACTACATCCTCATACTATATATTAGTGAATGATCTAGTTTTTCGTTTGTTTTTTTTTTTTTATGTAAGAGAGTTTGTCAAAATTTTTTCTTTTCATCTGTATGTTGATGTTTTATCAAAAAAAGTATCATATATGTATGAGATAAAACAAAAGAAAAAAACACTAAATTGAAATTGTTTTCCTATCTCTTACTTCATTATGTAAGATGATTACCTTGAAGTTAAATAAATCTAAATCTATTTAAATATATGATTCGCCTGAAGTTTAGTGACATTCTCGTATGATGTTATTAATGCTGACCTATAGTCAGATTTTACATCATTTATTTTGTTTCATACAATATTTATACAATCTGACGAATATTTGATATTGAATACTTTTCGCAGAAAATATAATTCACTTAAATTGAAAGTGATTATAATAGATGTTAATACTTATGAAGAAGTATTTGAGTGAATTGTATCTAATCATTCAGATTAATTGGAGAATTGACAACTTCAAATATTTATATTTGTAACAATGATAAAGAAGAACAAATAAATGAAATCCTATACTTATGTTAGAGTTAATTTTTTTTCTTGACGAACATCAATAGTTTGTTCGATGAAATGAGAATCTCAATAGGACAATAATAAGATTTATCTATGTTCTTCATCGTATGCTATTGATTAGTTTTATCTTGATTTTTCTATTCTATTCAAATAGAGTTCTCATGATAATAGAAATGAATAGTCATATGTGTGTCTAGAAAATATTAAAAATTCAAACATTATCTCATGTTAACTTATTCCACTTTTCAAGATTGAAGATCTATCGATATACTTTATCGATTCACCATTTTTTTTTCAATCACCTATTCTAACGTTTGATAGAATAATTTCACTTCGAGTTTTTATCGATTTATTATAGAGAAAATTTGTGAAATGAATAACAAGTCGTAGTTAAATGACGGTGTCATCTAATATCATCAGATGTTGATTGATAATCATCGAAAACTTTTTCATTGTCACTATTTTATATGAAGAAAAAGATCAATTTTTCAACTCAAAATAATATATTATAATCTATAGTATAAAAATGGTCAATGTATTACATTATCATTTGTTAATCGATTTTAAATTCGTTTCTGTCGATAATGAAAATCAAATATGAGCACGAATTTTAACCGAGACAATGATCAAAGTTCGAGTCTTAATTATTCTATGTCGAAATAATCCATAAAATAGCAATCAAATATCAATAGAAGATGAACTTATTGATTGTTAACAACATTTAGTATCTATATATATGATTAATAGAGATAGTGAATGTCTATCTCTTATTCGATAATCAATTCAATAAGAAGAAAATTTATTCTATTGATATTATTTAATCATAAACCTAATTAAAAGATTAAATTTCTCAGTAGAAATAAAATAAAGAAAATATTTCTACGGATAAATATTGTTTTCATTCTAGTTATTTTCTGTATTATAATGTTTCACTAACAAATGGTCGAATTTTGAGATATATTTTTACTAATGTTCAAATTTCTGAAATAATACATTGATTAATGTTTATTTGTTTGCATCAATGTCTATATAATTGCTTCCAGAAACCAACGAATTAATAGAACTTTTTTTTTTTAATCTATGACTGGAATTGAATTGTCGACACTTAATGATGGCATGAATATATTCGTTGCCGGGGTGATTCTCTTTAGATTTTACATTCTATTGTTTACCTTAGATAATTGAAGGAAATTAGAAAAATAAAAGTAAAAGAAGGGAATTACGAAGATCATTAAAAGAGTTTAGTTAACTTACAGAATTCATAGAGGTCACTAATAAATATCTTCGATAGCTAATGGCATTTTTTTGTCTTTTATTTCTTTTTGTTCTGAGTTCAGACTAGGAAGAGAAGAAATGAAACTTGTACATTAATGTATTTTTCATTCTATATTTGAATAGATTTATAGTTAAAAGAAACGTGACAAAAAATACAAATAATTTCAGTGTCGCGATATAATGAGTTAAAATGCAAGAATCTACAAGATGCTGTCGAAAGCAGTGTGTATGTTGTAATGAGTGATAGAAATATTAGTAGTTACAAATTAATTTCAGATTCTAATATTAAAAAAAATGTGTATTTCATTACGACATCTTTTTAGACGAACAAAAAAGATCTTTTCTTAAAAGCAAAATGGAGGAATCACAAAATTTGGCTGATCTAATCCATACGACGTCTGATAAAGTATCATATTTATCTTTATCAATGCAAACGAATATAAAGTATAGACCGATGCCAGATCCATTATCTGTCTATGTACCATTGGATTCTCTAACCGAGGAAACAATTGATTCTATTATTTTGACTATTCAACAATCTGATAAAAGAGATTGGGCCTTCAGTAAACGTACTTTACTTGCTTTTTTGCTTGCAATCAACAATAAAGTGAACGAAATTGAAAACAATGAATCAAACAATAAATTCGATGAACAAACTCTACAACATGTTGCAAAAGTTCGGCAATGGCTCGTACAGAAAGATCGTTTTGGCAAAAGAGAGCAACTTAATTGGAATAAACTTCGTAAAACTTATGATCAGATGATAAAAGAAAAAGAGGATGGCACAGCTAAGCATTTTGCTGTCAAAAACATTGAACCTTACTATGAGTTAACTATTGAAGGGGTGAGTTTTTCTTTATCGTATATATATATATAATTTCTCGCTGATGATTTCAATTGAGACATCTGCAAATTTTGTCAAGTTTGAACTCTTTAAGATTTTCTAAAAACTATAAATGTTTCATTTCTACTACTATTACCAGTAAGTTGACAATTAACGATGAAGATCTATTTTAAAGACATTTTATAAAAAATAGATTTTTTTTGTTCAAGATGAATCAATATGAATCTTCGCCTTTATAAAAATATAAAAGAAAACAAATTTTCTTCATTTACTTACAGGATTTGTCATTAATGCTCGATGATAGAATTTTCTGAGTTCTTATCGGATTTACGTTGTCGAAAATGATGGTAGTCAGTTGTTAGTTTCTGTCATAATTAATATGATCCATTGCTGATCGAGACTAGGAAACATCGAAAAATCGCTTCGTCAAATGACTATTGAAACAAGATTTAACGGTTAAAACTCTTTCAAATTCTAGTAGTGCAACACATCCAATGGCATTAAAATTGAGCAATTTTATTCATCAAATGAGATCGTTTTCGATAACATTAATCATATTAGAATCAGTTACTTACGCTCGTTTGATACAAACAGAAATACCTTGTAAACAATTCAGTTTTAGTATTCAGTGTTTAATTAAATCGAGTGTGAAAAGTTAATTAGGATAGATAATATTATTATAATTGTATCAGTACCAATATTAACGTCACAAAAAAAAAGAGGTTGCCATCGTGCGTAAACTATAAACAGCAAAATTTTCAAGACAACTTTGATATGAAATCAACAAGCTCTCGAGAGTTTTTTAAAGTATTTGATAAATTGGTTAGCAAATATGTTCAATAATCTTTGATTGTTCCTTGCAAATATTTTTAATATATCGAATAGTTATAATCAATGATGAATTTTGTTGGTATTGAACTATTCTTAGATATTTTACCAAAGTTCACAGGCACTATTCAATTATATGAAACATATTAATAACAATTTTCTAGAGAATATAGGAAATATTTCGTTCATGTTTATGAAATTTTCGTCATTAGAGATTTCTCATATGTTGATGAACATGAACAAAGACAATTTGATATGGATAATATATCATTTTAACTTGAAGAGCAATCAAATTTTTCAGACAAATCGATCGAAAATATTGAATATTATATCAGAAATAACGTTACAAATTAGAATAATATGTCGAAGTATTATTGATTTATAAAGATCATTGTCAGAATAACTATCTTTACAAATAAAAAACTTACAGCAATAAGATGCATTTACAAAAGAACAAATCTATTGATAGATATTTTAGACAAGAATTTGTTTTATCTTAATCTGCGTTAAAAAAATGAAAACAGTCACATATATGCATGTATAATTAATTTATTTTACTAATATATATTTTTTTTTCTATAAATCTGAATTTTCAGTGCATGACACTGAGAAATACAATGGATTCCGATGCGTTTTCAGAATGTTTATTATGATTTATGACATTTTTCTTTCTTAAATTTTCACCATATTATAAAGCGCATGAGTTAATCTCATATATTGAAGTTTGATGAGTTTAAATGTAGGTTATTAAGAAGACAATGATTTCTGTTAGTAAATCAAGGATTAAAAAATAAAGAAAACAGTAGTATGAGGTAATTGTTGTATTTTATAATAAACTATTTTAAATATTTAGTCAAATAATAATAAATGATTTTATAAATAATAGGAAAACAAGTCTTTAGAGAAAATTGTTTAAATAGATGAATAGATATTCGAACTATTAATGATATATATTGAGACAATCATTCTGTTTATGTCATCCTTTACAAGATTACTTTTTAATTATCAGCAATCAATGAAACCTGAGTCAGCCAATGGCTAAAGATGCTTATTCGAAAAAGAAAAACAGCCAATATGAATAAACGTAAGATTACGTGACATTTGAATGGCTGATTTTTCACAAGTTTTAACATAAAAAGTTCTGATTGTGTCGAGTATCATCAAGATTTTTCTTTAAAGTATAATCCAATATAGAGTTAGCTGTTAGGAATTCTAGAAAATCTATGTAAAATTTCTGAGTTTTGACATTTCTGAATTTCTCCAGAACAAAATATGATTTCGTTTGATATTATTCGACAATACAGGACCATATCTTTTTTCTTAGAAATTGATCTCAAAGAAATCAAAGTCAAATTTAATCAGTTTTTCCAGATGATATCATTTCTGTAAGCAATCTTATGTTGGATCTTAATATTTCCAATAGGATTCAGCTATAGAATAGCATTATTTTAAAACAACGCTTAAAAAGATCCTTCGAAATAACATTCTTTATATAATTAATATTTCCTTAGTTACATCCTGATATAAATCAATCTCGTGAATATATGTCCCGTTTTCGCAGTCATGGTTGGGAACCTAAAGAATTAAAAATCTATTGGAATTTGCAACAACTTGAAAACCTTTGTCCGAAACATGAAACAAAAGCTAAGCAAGTAGAAGAAAAAGATAAACAAAACAATGATGTCAATAATCAAACGAAACTTGAAAAAAACGAAGAAACAAAAGCCGAAGTAAAAAATGAAAATACCAATGAAATAAACGACCAAATGAAAGAAGAACCCAAAGAAGAAGTAAAATGTGAAACAATAGCTGAATTAAAAGATGATAACCTACCACCACATGACCCATCTGATGCTGATGTCGTAAAAGCTCTACGTGAGCATCCTGTATCAAAACGAAATAATGCCGGACAGATTAATTATATCAACAAAGGTATTGAAAAGGCTGTTTTCGATATACCTGAAGATGCTCAAATAATTGTTCTTAATTTTGCTGTAAGCTATTTTTCAGTAGATTATTCTTAGTTTAACTTCAATATTTTAGAATGAACGATCTCATGGTGGTGGATATTTAAGACATGCCTGTAAGTATTATTTATTTCAGAAATATAGAAATGCACATACATGCATATATACCCCTGGAAAGTAAAAGCTGGACATGGTATTTCGAATCTATTGACGCTCGAGAAGGACATTTTGGAAAACTTAATTATACCATTTGATAGCCCTTGGAATTCTCTATCACCCTGTCTATTTTTGTCCTCGTTTACAGTTAAACATTACCAAAATAAATTGAGTGCAATGAAGGTACCCTTATGTCCAGATTTTCACAGATTGGATTTTGTCTCCTCAACTAGTTCTCCAGCTATAGAAATACATTTCCAAAAAAGTAATTATATGTTCTGATATAGCTTGAAATTCTCTATCAGCCCATATATTTATCTATTGCCTTATATTTGTTTGCTGAAAAATAATTTGAATACAATGAACGCCTCCTCAATTGACAAGTATACAAAATCCGCATTTTTTCGTTGTTTTTTTAGTTTCTTTCGCAAATTATTTTCGTATAGGAATAACTTTTTCCAAAAAAAAATTTTACATTCTGATAGAGCTTGAAATTCTCTATCATCTTATATATTAATATATTGTCTTGAATTTAAGTAGCGAGAAAAACTGCAGATTTTTCATACTTGTCGATTGAGGGACCGTTCATTCTATTCAAATTATTTTTCAATAAACAAATATAAGGCAATAGATAAATATATGGGCTGATAGAGAATTTCAAGCTCTATCAGAATGTATAATTACTTTTAAAAAAGATAACACCATAGTGATAAAAAAATCTGAAAGACTAATTTTGATGGCAGAGAAAAAATCCAGTCTGTGAGAATCTGGACATAAGGGTACCTTCATTGCACTCAATTTATTTTGGTAATATTTAACTGTAAACGAAGACAAAAATAGACAGGGTGATAGAGAATTCCAAGGGCTATCAAATGGTATAATTAAGTTTTCCAAAATGTTCTTCTCGAGTGTCAATAGATTCGAAATACCATGTCCAGCTTTTACTTTCCAGGGGTATATATACATAACAATTTTGTACAATCTATATCGTATTAAAATGTTGAATTCTGCTAGTCAAGTTGAAATGAATATTTTCTATTTATTAGGGGCACAAGAAGAAATTATACTTTACAATTCGGATGGCTATCGATCATTGCTTGATCTAAAATACGGTCGCATGGGTGGAGGCTATGCTATACCTGAATTTGGGCTTGCATATGTTCGTGATATATGTTTTTTTGATAAAGAAACAGGCAAGAATCGCAAAACCGATATGCTAGTTTCTGCTTGTTATTGTCTTACTGGTTCACCACAACTTTATGATAATCCAAAGACGGACGAAGAGGTAAATAGTTGACATTGAAAAACTAAGAGCATGAAAAAAAAACTGATTATTTTTTGTTCGAAGCATTCATTTTAATTAGTAACAAAATTAATTTTGATTGTTTTAGTGGGAAAGAAAAACTTTGGCTAAATTTAATGCATTCATGGCTGCAGCTGTTGCTAATACAAAAGATGATGGATCAAATACTTATCTTTTACTTGGACCAATAGGTACGGGTGCTTTTGGAAATGATGTCATTAAAATTGGAAAAATTTTTCGGAAAGTACTTACGTCAAAGTTGATGGGTTCAAATGGTCCTGTTACCAAAGCTTTCGAGAATATTTGGTTTGTTTCGACAGATGAATGGAAAAATGATGAGTTCGAAAAGATCATGCGTTCTATTTAAATAAATTAACGTTTGACAATGTTAACTATGTTACTTTTTTTCTTACACTTAAACATAATAGAAAAATGCTCAAAATAAAAGTGCATAAAATATGAGAATATCATCAAATTCTTGAGAATAAACAGGTATAGTTTTATTCTGAAATCTTCATTAAGGAAAAAAAGAATCTAATAATTAATGATTAACATACATTTGAATAGTTGAAAATAAATGATAATTATTTAACGATTATCAATTGATAATATCACAATAGATTTATAATTACATTTATATAATTAGAATTCGTCTCGGCAAATATTATTTTATTTCTTTTATTCTTTAAAGGTAATACATATAACCGAAATTCAACTTGTATTTATTTTAACTATTGAATAAGTATATGAAAGAAGCAAAAACATTTCCAAAATTTAATCGATAAGTAACTAGGGTCCTGCGGGAACGACTTTTTCCCGTCCCGTTTCCCGCGGGAATGCGGGAACGGGAACACGGGAACGGGAATTGTATTAAAAATTTCTGTTTCCGGCAAACCCTATGTCCGATTTCTGTTTGCATTAAAATCTGTTAATCTTACAGTATTCGATTTCCAATAACTATTTGAAATATAATTGAAAAGAGAACAAATATCAGTCAACAAAATCAGACAAGTTCATTCAAACATAGATTATGAGAATCACGATATTCTTTACCACCATCGTCGGCATCGAAGTTGGGATCATCAAGATTACATATATGTCAAACTTGAAACTTGAATTCAATTGAAATTTCAAGTTTCAAGTTTCAATAGGTTTATGAACCTTGAATCAGAAATTTACTTTTAATATACGGAAATTTGTATTGGGAGAAACATGATGTCGCTAAAAGCTAGTATCAAGTAGGAGTAGCGTTGATGAATGTGAATAATGAAATCATTGTAGCTATTCTCAAAGCATTACGGGAATGGGAATACGGAACGGGAACGAAAATTTTGTTACGGGAACGGAAACACGGGATCGGGAACGAAAATTTTTGTTACGGGAACGGGAACGGGAACAAAAATTTTCAATACGGGAACGGGAACCAAAAAAAGTTGTTCCCGCAGGTCTCTATAAGTAAGAAAGAGATAAAACAAAAAGAGAGTCAACAGATGATAACAAATAACAAATTATCAAAATAGAAATAAATTTATCTGCACAAATACTTAACAGTAAAAGGGTAGATGTTAGTTGATAAAATATTCAAATAATTATTTTATTTCTTCTTAGATAATTGGTTATAATATAAAGAATGTATTATATTGAATTTCTATTAATAACAATAAATATTGTATTATATTCATATTTAATTGAATGTATGCGTATACCAGATTCAAATCTTGATTTAAATGAAGTAGCTTATCATGATGAACCATCGAAAATTTATCTTGGTTCACCTTCAATTATTCGTTTATCATCAGGTCGTCTTGTTGCTAGTCATGATTTTTTTGGTTCAGGATATTCATTTCAACCAAGAAATGTTTCAGTTTATATAAGTGATAATAATGGTGAAACATGGTCATTTATTTCATATATAAAACATAGTTATTGGACAACATTAGCAGTTTATAATGATATTATATATGCAATAGGTACTGATAGTGATTCAAATGCAAATATAATTATTCATCGAAGTAATGATTATGGTTTATCATGGAATTATAATGGAAGTGATGATGGTATTATTTTATTTCATGGTTCATTTGCAACAGGTCCAACACCAATTGTTATTGCCAATCAAGTTATATATCGTGCTATAGAATATTGGCCAGCACCTTCACGATGGCCTACAGATTTTCAAGCAGCAATTATTAGTTGTAATTTATCAAAATCGAGTGAATTTATTGAAGATGATCCAATTATGTCTCCAAACAATTGGCAATTAACTTCCCCACTTGTTTTCAATAAAGAATGGATACCAAAATCATTTCCATATCTAAATTCACCTGGATATTTAGAAGGAAATGTTGTTATAGTACCTAAACCATCGTCAAAAGAAATACGTATATTAAATATAATTAGATTTAATTCTATACCATTATCAAATTTAGCTATTATCTTAGAATTAAATCAAACAACAAATATACTTTCATTTGTATCAATAATAAAATTTCCAGGTGGTATGACTAAATTCACAATACGATATGATCCAATTAGTCAAGCATATTTTTCATTAGTAAATCCTGTAACACAAAATTTTGACCCATTTCAACGTAATATATTAAGTTTATCCTATACAAAAGATTTAATTCATTTAAATAATTGGACTATTGCTGCTGATCATCTTTTATATGATGATACTGGTTTTACAATGAATGATAGTCTTCGTTATACTGGTTTTCATTATGTTGATTGGCAATTCGATCAATTATCATCATCATCATCATTATCTTCTATTAAATCTAGTTGTATTGAATGGAATTGTGATGGTGGTCCTCATATTATTTATTTAATTCGTACATCTTATCGTGGTGCCAATTCATTTCATAATTCAAATCGTATTACTTATAAAACATTAAAATATTATCGAAAACTAATTCAATAATATTAGAAAATGTTTTAAATAAAAATATTTTACATATGTTAAAGCAAACAAACTATCTTTCAGTCTCATAAACTTTCTTTGATTTAATTCTGAAAAATTCTAGAATAAAAGTATATCACAAAAGTATAGATGATCTCTTTCTCATTGGATATTATATTTAAAACTCTAGCAATGATATTTCGACAATTATTCAGTTTAATTTAAATATTATACGAAATATCAATCTAAAGCTAAATTTTAATATTCATTATTTTTATAACAACAAAGTATTTAGATATTTATGCATCTGTCTCTTGCTTAAAACTTTTTAAATCTACGAAGCAATAGAAAACGATAAACTGTTTTCATTATATTTAGAAAAAAAGAATAATTTATGCTCGAAATTTTACTTCTAGAAATAAAAAAATTAAAACAGTCTGCTTACGATATTTTTGTTTATTTTTCTAAAGAAAATTAAATTAGATTTTAACATATATCACAAGTTATATTAAAATATTGTTTAATAATCTTTGATAAAAAAAAAAGTTGAAACTGCAAATACTTCAAGGAATTTATCTAATGCATATCGTTATTCACTTATGCTTATTAATTATTTATTTGTTAACACATTCGACGCGATTCGATTCTATTGAAGAATGATGAGTCCCACTGGTAGGACCCATCGCATCGAATGTGTTAACAAAATATCTTAACTTCAGTTTTTGCTGACAGATATTATTTTATCAAAAGTAGTTTGATTCAATTTCGAATATAAATGAACATTATTGTATTTCATATTTGTACTCTTAGTTAGATAAATGGACTATAGTGAAGATTTGCTAAGTTTTGATTTGAACTTCAAATCAAACAAGAACTTTATAAGAACAGTTCAGCGAGAACTCATACAAAAACTAATTATAAAATTGTGAATATGAACTTGACTTTATCTTTGTACAGTATATGCATATTACAAATAAAGTATATAATTATTGAAAACAGTTTTCTATCCATTTAAATAATATTGTTTTTTCAATGTCATCGCTTTCAGAAATGTTTCAATCACAAAAGAGCTGCAATTCTAGTTCATCGGACTTCAATTACTTTCTGTTTGAATTCAAATGTGTCATTGAAATAGACTTAGTCGAATGTGAATTTTGGTCATATATTCACATGCAATGTTCTGTAATCACACTCAAAGTATTCTCAATTGCCTTCCAATAAGCAAAACAAGTGAAAGATAATGACATGTAACTTCATTGTTTGCTGTATATCATAATTATTGACTATTCATGTTTCAAAAAATGATTGTATTAACCAGTGGTCAAGTCAGAGTTTTGGATTAGAAGACCTGAGCTTCCTCTCTAGTGCGAAGTAAATGACATATTTCTATTCTAATGCTTCTGTGTAATTGTATTAAACACATGCCAGGCTCTAATAATCTCTCATGTTTTCCAAGAATATAAGAGAATAGTGTTGTGCCGAAGTATATATGTTTATTGTTGAAATGGACCAATGAGTAGAGCCCGTCGGGTAGGACCCGAACCCGACCGCGTCCCAGTCTAAAGCAATTTTTGATGCATATGAGAATATTTTTCGAAGTTTTACTGATCCTCTGCTTTCTCTAAAGAGCTAGTTGCTTTTGGTTGTTCGTGTTCAAAATAAATTGTTTGTGTGCAGTAGAAAAGATTCCTTTGGCCTCAGATACAGGCAAGATCGAATCCGGGTAGCATTCGGGTCCAAAATTTTTCTATTTACCGGGTCCGGTTCTGAAATTTCTTTTAAAGAGCGGATACGGGTCCAAGAAAAGTTCAACGAAGCGGGTCCGGGTCCAAAAATGTTGAACCCGACGGGCTCTACCAACGAGAGACCTTCAACTACAGTGATTAAATCTTTTGAGTTTTGAATAATTACAAATAGATTTAATTTTTTTTTTACAGAAAAAATATTGAAAAATACAAGTGTACAGCTTTTGCTAAAAAGCTCGACAATTTGGAGAAAATGTTTTTATCAAAATATTTAAGATACTCACAAAAGTTTTTTATTTGAAAAGACACGTTCATTTTCTTTAAGATTAAATTATACTTTTTGTTATATTTGATACTGAAGAAATTTTAGAAATTTTAGTACTTCTCTGAGAATTTCCGAAATGCGGTATAGAGTGTGTTGAGAGTCTCTTTCGTATGAATCAGTTACTTCAAAAATATCCCACCAAGGAGGCTTTCAAGTGTTAGTCGTTAGTGAAATTTTCAGGAATTCTCGACGTTGTCTAGACATGCCCTGCCTATGTGTTAGTAGCTTTGGACATTTCTTTTCTTGGAAATTTGAACGCGACTATCCTTCAACCTATGGGGTTTTGTTCGGAGGATTATTTGAGTTATTTTGAAAAATCCAAATAGTGCTTAGAGTCTGGTGAATATTTCCTAAATAATTTGGTGTTTTTATCAATTTCAAAATGAAAACCTGTTAATTGCAATACATGAGAAAAAAAAATTATAAAATATTGGTTTTAATTTTGATATGCGCTGAAACATCGTGATTAGTAGCATAAAAATTTAAGTGATGTTTTAAATTCATAAATATGCTTGATAGTTTCATCTCTGTTTCGAATTAAAAAAACTATGAAAAGCTTTGCGATTTAATCATTTAAATAGACAAATTAATATATTCGTAGTTATTTCATCTATATGCTAATATAGATTGTTGTAAAATGGAAAATAAGTTTCGTTCAACAGGTTAGAATATTTGAATTTTAGCAATGAAAATTAGTTTTACTTGATATGAATGCAATTTCATTTTGATCATTTTATATTCATATTATTCTTAAAACTTTTATGATTAGTTGGTAGTTCAGTGCTGTTCGAATTCATTTTTGTAAAGTTTAGTCGAAGTTCATATCAGTTTGCTTTTGATCTCTGATATATATAAACCATCGTTATATGTAAGATCTATATTCATTTCATAGATAATGAAAACTCACGTGACTTATCTTTACTTGAAGAAAATCGTCACATGTTTTGTTAAATGGTCATATAATGATATACTGCTACTTTTTCTTATCATTCTATCAACAAATAAACCAATATTGACGAAGATTAGTTATTGTCAAGATTATAATGTTAAATGTCAATAAACATGCTTTTGTGTTCTCACTACTGTCCTTGATTAAATCAGCAAGAAGATTACAATAAAGAATAATAATAGATCGAAACTTTGATGATAAGAGTTCTCGAAAAGTTCTTGTTCTTTATTTAGAAAAAATTCTGCTCACCTCAAATAATTACATTTGTCCATTTATACAGTTTATTTTTCAAAAGTCAATTTGCTTAATTATTTTCGCATGAATTTCGTACATTGATGTATCATTGTTAAAATTATCCAGAAAGAAGTATACTATATCGTATATATGCTCGGAAAAAATCCTAGTCACTCCGTATTTCAGGTATACAATACAGAGAACTTCGGTCATAATAAGAAGCGATACAATATATCTAGATTTGACGATTTATGATCGTTTAGGAGCCTACTTGTTCGACGTAAGCACACAAAACTAATCTTTTATTTTGATTTCTTTCAATGAATGATGTCAACAATGTGAAGAATATGCCATCTGGTTAAATAAAAATAGTATAATAAACACTTCATTTCTTTACTATTCTTATCTGACTGAAAAACTTCTAGTCACCACTTCTGTTTTTTTTTTATTTGACTATTTTGACATTAAACTAATTTCTCTCTTTTTCTTTTTTTGCATACAATATATCAAACAAGAATTGTTTTGTTGAAAGAAAAAAAACAAGGACTGAATGACAGAGACAATTTGTGTGCGATGTGTTTTTTTTTTTTTTACTTTAGATATGAATACTTGGATTACATCAGTTCTTTTTTATGTCCTTCTGAAGCGCTTGTGATAAAAGGTAAGCCCTTTATATTATCACTATTTTTTGTTATTGGTTGATAATAGTAAAACACAAATTGTTGATAAATCAAGATGAATAAAATTTTAAGTAAAGTAAGTTCTTCTTATTGAAAAAAAAAGTAAAACTTAGGTCGAACTCATCTTGAAGTGAACTAATTGTCTCTTCCACGTTTATAAAGAGAACAATTCAATGATACTCTTATTACGTTGTTTTCTTTTTCGATTATGTTTCTTCTTTTTATAAGGTATAATGTAATTCTATTACATTACTCTAATACCGGGTGTTGCAAAAGTTTTGCAACATTTTTTGTTTTGCATGTAACTCTGTTCAGAAACATGACCATAAATTGATCTTTTTCTCAAAAGATGCGCCATCAAATTCTCTACAAACTTCTATTCGTCTTAGTTTAGAACAATAGAACTGAACTTCTTTTATAGGTCGCATATTATGATTATGTGAAATGACCCTACTTCCCACACGTTTTTCAGTAATTTATTCTTTTTATAGAAGTGAATATTTGATTCTTAGAAAATTATATAACACTAGATAGCTCTTGAAATCCTCTGTCGATTGCTTATATATACGAAGTTTTTCAATGCTCATTCCTTTGGTTTGACGTACGACCATATTTTGAAAAAAGCGCAATTTTCATGTCTGTTTTTTCTTTTCAAAGAAAGCACTCTAGAAATGTCATCTATGACTGAATCGTTTTTATTTTTGCAGTATTTTGTAGAAAATTGATTTCTCTTTCTATGTAGAGTTCAGACAACGCTCGAAAACCAATTCAGCCGGAGGAAAGATCCGAATAGCATCAAGAAGACTGTTTTCGTTATGGTAGCTCAGACAGATTATAGTTTTTAGACAAACATAGATGGCGATCAAGCGCTTACAAATAATTCTGAAAGAGCATTCGATATACATTCAAATTACAAATAGAAAGTCTCTCAAGTGCCTGTTTATAACTTCGAAAAGATTGTTGGAAAAGCAGAAAAAGTGTGTGGGAAGTAGGGTCATTTCACATAATCATAATATGCGACCTATAAAAGAAGTTCAATTCTATTGTTATAAACTAAGACGAATAGAAGTTTGTAGAGAATTTGATGGCGCATCTTTTGAGAAAAAGATCAATTTATGGTCATGTTTCTGAACAGAGTTACATGCAAAACAAAAAATGTCGCAAAACTTTTGCAACACCCGGTATGATCTGACAAATGTATTCTTTTCTCTTATTCATTTTCTATTGTTTTTTTTCTCTACGTTCACATCGCTCTGGTCATCTTTATTTCTCTATTACTCCTTTATAAACATGTAATGTATATGAAATAATTATATTCTCAAGATTTGAAATAGTTCAATGAACATAATTAGCAAGAATGTTACTTTGAGTATTTTAGAAGATGACAAAATGGATTGAAATAAATATTTTCTACTATTCAGAAGGTATAAGAAGCAGACACTTTATTGACAAACAAATTCAAATAAATCGATAGATAATCAAAACAAGTCGCTCTAACTGACAACATGTTTTTGTATTTAAATTAAGCTGATGAAAATAAATACAGCAATTATTCCTAATAACAAACATAAATATCGTGACTCTATGCAAAAAGTGATTGTTTCATAGTCAATACTGAAAAATAAATTCCAGTTATTCCAATTGAAGAGAACATTCTCTGAAAACATAAAATATCGAAATATTCAATACAACTTCGATTAATATTACGTAATTCAAATCGATATGAAATTTCTACATATTACAATGCAAGTATTTATTTCATGCATGATAATTTGTCTGCAATATTATCTTATTAAAAAGTGGCTTCACGCTTGAGCTCGATATCAAATTCATTTATCATTATATTGTACAGTTATGATAATGAATAGTCCATGAAGGACATAGAAGAGATCAAAGTTGTTATGATATATGATCTATTTCATGAAATTTCATCTTTTTATGAACTTTTTACAAATATAAAGCATAGAGAACGAATAGTTTGATGCTATATCCTCCTATGAATCAATCGGTACTCAACTTAAGTTCCTCTAATCCCAATATTTATTCAAATCGTTGTGAAGATGTGACTATTGTATATACCTTTTCAAATTTCATAGATCCCTGTATCTTTTAAACATGATAAGACATATAGAGCAAAATTTATAAAAAGTACTTTGTTTTATGATATTTTGCCTTAAAGTACGAATAGAATTTGTTGAGAATAGTACGATAACAAAACAATTTCCTAACATCGGTCTAGGACATATTGATTGAAAGATCTCATATTCTTCCAAACAAAATAATAAATTGTTTACTGCTTTTCAACAACTAATACCTAGTTAATCATTTTTGAATTTGTAAAACTGCTTCAAATAATATTCTTCTTAAATATGCGTAAAAAAAAGTGATAATTTTTCATGATGATCTGACAAAGATAGATTCACCTGTCGTTTTAGTTTCGCCGCTCGAAGAATGTAGTTCCTGAAAAAACTGACGAGGTTGATGTTAATACAAATGTAGACAAAGAAGTAAGTAATATTTTACGAAAAAAAAAAAAATTGTTCATTCTTCAACATTTTGATTAGGAGGAAAATAACCATCAATGGGATCGACCACTTGAATTCGTCTTATCGCTGATTTCGAATTCAGTTGGTCTCGGCAATGTTTGGCGATTTCCTTATCTAGCAGCGCAGAGCGGTGGTGGTCAGTTTTAAATAACTTGTTATCTTTCTCTCACTTTTCAATATATTTCAGGTGCTTTTCTTATTCCATATTTTCTTCTCTACTTTTTAATTGGAGCTCCACTCTATTATATGGAATTGGCTCTTGGTCAATTTACAAGTCGAGGACCAGCCTCAGGATTTGTTCTCGCTAGAGGATGGCAAGGTAAATATTTAAATAATTTGTCTTCATTAATTATTGTGTTTTTTTTTTTGTTCAGGTGTAGGATTTGCTATGATAATCAATAGTGTCTTGGGCACTCTATATTATAATGTTATCATTGCTTGGGCGCTCTTCTACTTTGTTCTTTCATTTCGTAAGACACTCTTATGGTCTGATTGTGGTCATTGGTGGAATTCAAACCGATGTTTTGTTCCTGGCTTTCAAGGAAATACTTCGACAGGAAATGACACAACATTGAATTGTACAGCATTACTAGCTAGTAATTTATCCAATTTTACATGTCCACCAACCAATAATACTAAAGATGTACCAGCCACTGAAGAATTCTTTTAGTAAGTTTTTAGTTAAACATGAGATAGTTTAGTTTTTATCATTTTCATTGTGTCTGTCGTCAATTCTAATAAATAATAAAAAAGAATCTTTCAGTGTTATTTCATCGACATAGATTAGAATATTTCTATCGTAATTTCTAGTCGACTTCTTTTGAATAAAAGCTCAAGTTTTGATGATTTCGGTGTTCCCGGTACTTACATGTCCGTTTTATTACTTGGAGCTTGGATTATTATTTGTTTGTGCATTTTTCGTGGTGTTCAATCATCAGGCAAAGTGAGAACCTTTAGCTTTTCATTATACTCTTATATTACACATTGTTTTAGGTGGCATATTTCACGGCTATATTTCCATATATTGTTCTTCTTATATTGATTATTTTCACTGCAACACTTGAAGGAGCTGGCAAAGGCATTCGATACTATATAGTGCCCCGATGGGAACTCATCGGCAATTTTCAGGTAAATAATGATCATTAAGAGTTAATTGAATAAATGAACGAATGAATCTATTGAATTCTATATATGAACTTCAATGAAAATTCAAAATAAATGGAAGTTTTTTTTTGTTTTTCATGAGATAAATTACATATATTATTTTATTTTAGATATGGCAAGCAGCAGCTTCTCAAGTTTTTTTCTCTTTGAGTATTAGTTTTGGTTCACTTATTGCTTATTCAGCGGCCAATGACTTTCATAATAAATTTTTCCAGTAAGTAAAAGTTTTTTTTTTTTCTTTGATCTATGAAGTTTAATTCTAATCAAACAATAGACAAATGTGTATTGTGGTTTGTTGTGATTGTTTCACCGGTGTTTTTGCTGGTTTTGCCGTTTTTGCTACTGTTGGATTTCTTGCTACATCATTAGGAAGAGAAGTCGAAGAATATGCTCGATCATCAGGTCCTGGTTTAGCATTTATTACTTATCCTGAAGCACTATCGAAAATGCCAGCCAGTCCATTTTTTTCTATAATCTTCTTTTTAATGCTTCTTGCTCTTGGATTGGGTTCACAGGTAAGTCAATCATCAATCATTATCTATCATATAGATTTTTTTCTTTTTAGTTCGCCTCTACTGATGTACCAATCACTGCACTTATGGAATTCTTTCCATCGTATGCAAAGCGAAGAACTCTTCTCGTTATAATAACTTGTACAGTATTCTACCTGGTTAGCCTGCCATTTGCTTGTCCCGTGAGTATTGTTTACAATTGATGATATATGAAAAGATCGATAAGTTTTTTTGTTTTTTTTTTTGTTCAGGGTGGTATTTATCTGTTCGAACTCTTTCAAGAATACACAGCGAATATATCGTTGGTATTTATTGGTTTTTTCGAAGTAATTACTGTTGCCTACATTTATGGTCTGTTCTACTATGAAATTTTATTTAGTCATAAATATAAAAACTCATTTTAGGATTCAATTCATTTATGAATGATGTTAATATGATGTTAGGAAAGCGAGCAGCTGAATACTATCTCTTTGTTACATGGTGCGTTACAGCACCACTACTCACACTTGTAAGTACATATGATATTTCAATGTCTACAACTTTTTCTTTTTCTAATAAGTTCATATTATTTTTGAGATCGAATTAAATTAGAAAGCGTAACTACATTTATTTCAAATTTTTGTTTGAACTACGACATAAAAATTCAACGTAAGAAATTAAGTTTTTCTATCGTTTAGATCAATTATAATAGATTTTACTATATCAATGTACTCGAGAGAAGTCTTTCTAACAAATAATATGATAGTAATTTTCACTACATTTCTCTTTCATTAGAAATTTGTTTTTTTCAATATTAATATCGTCGATTGTTCGATATACTAATCGTATATAATAGTTGCACCTAATTATGTAGTTGAGGTTATTATGTAGTCTTTTTTATGTTCACATCAACACTTATTGGTTTGAATATTAGAATTGAACTTGAAGTTATTTCAAAAACGATCATATATCTAATTACTCAAGTGGAAAACATGGACAACAATAACTATATTGTATGTGGTATATACACGACATATGTACGCGCAGGAAAAAAAACAGAAATTATAGACATTATTAATGAAATTCTAAAAGGATTTATAATTATGGATTTATGGTCAAAGTTTATAATTGTTTCACAGAATTTTCAATCAAAGATACAATATATCGAGAAGATACGTCCATATGAAATTCTGCCCATAAATAGTTCTAATAATTTCTAGAATATATTAATATATTTAAACGAAAATTGATACTATCTACTCGAGATAGTCAATTCTGAGAAGAGCTTTATTTGTGAAATTCGTTTGTCATACGAAAACATTTTTCGAAATTTCGATTTCTCAAGAAGACAGCATCCGTTTTTTTTGAAAACATTTGATATATACTAGCAATCTTTAGAATTTCATATCAAAATACCTTCATTTAGGTATATACTCTAGATATAAGTATCGTAGGTCGAAAATTCACTAAAACGATTCGAACTTTTGATCACAAATTCACAGGTATGAATAGTTTCAAAATTCTCTAAGTGACACTGACTTCAACTGATAAATACAATATTAATCCATAGGCGAAAATGTTAATATGGATGTTATTCTGACTACTGTAATATAAGATGATATCATTTTGAAATAAAAGATATGTTGGTGACTGAAGGAAAATAAGTAAGATATTATCTCACTATGAAATATGTTTAACTAGTGAGTGGTATTACTGATCGCAATGATAAAAAAATTTCGTTAAGTAAATCAAATATTGATATGAGATAACTCATAATTAAATTGTGCATCCAAAATGTTTGTCATTTGTAAAATTATAAGAATGAATATATTTCTTTTTGTGTTTTCATTCATAGATTATATTTCAATTTTTTATGATTATAACACTTAAAAATTGCCAGAACTATCTGTATTATAATGCTTCGGCGAATAAAATAATATTCAATTTGATATAAATTGAATCATATATACCTATGAGAGCATAAATGTATATGCAACAACTCGTACTCAAGTAGCGTAAGATTAATAATACTAAGATCAGTTTATTTTAACAGTTACTCGTTTTTGAATTAACTATTTAGTTATAAGTTGAATGTAAGAATATTAGCCTCTGCTAATTAGATCAACCATTAACATATAATTCCTAATTTGATTCGTAACTAATTTAAATACTTGTAGTTGCAAAAATATTTACATTATTTAATCGACTATTAGAGAAAACTAGTTGACAAAAACATGCAGTTTATTTTATTTGATCTAATTTATAATTTTTATTTTCTATTGAGGTGCTCACCATTTCCAATTTAATAGGTGCTGCGCCACTGTCAATAAAGGCTGCTGGTGGATTTCCAGACTATGAATTTCCAAGATGGAGTGTTATATTAGGATGGTTTATCTTTGTTTTTTGTATTCTTCCAATTCCACTCGTCTTCATCATCAGTTACTTTCGCGAATATCGAAGGCTTTCTGCTCTTCAAACAGTATGTAGAATTCTGCTTTTCTTTTCTTGACATGTGTTTTATTCGAATTTTATTGAAGACAACTGCTATTCTCGGTGACAATAGTCAGTTGACAGAGTATAAGGAGCCGAAACCTATTTACTTGCAAGCATTGACAGCAAATAATTCGCCTGCAGATACTTGGGGACCTAGAAGAAGAAAGCACCAGAAAGATGCATATGCTCATTTGGCTGTACGATCAGCTAAAACTAATATCCCTTCTCAACAACAGTTTCCTGAACAATCATCAAAAGTGATGAACAATACAGATACTCAAACGGGTGTGATAAATCCAACTTTTGATGAAGGCTCGGCAATGCATGACGATGACGGAAACACTTCACATGAAAAGCTTTGATCACAAACAATGATCAACTGATTTGAAAATGAGTTTGATCAATTTTGCACATTCTCATTGCTTTACAAACATGTCATTGACAATGTTTTTTGCTTCAATTAGTTTCTTACCCAATTTAGTTGCATAATAATGTTCGTTTCATTTTCAATTTTTTTTCTTTATTAATGGATTCTAATAATAATACTTTAACCTTACCATGATGTTTCAATTCTGTAGAAATGCTTTGGAGAATGTTGCAATTCAACTCGATCTACACTGTATAGATTGACTCACAGATACGGTCGAATTCGAGTTAGATCATTGTTTCACTTAGAAAAATCGACAATTTTTCCAGCTTTTATTTTACCCATTCGAAAAATAAATGAGCTAATACTTATAAGCTCATATCATTTATTTATATAATAAACAATTTCATAATTCATATGAAACAATTACAAGAGTTTATGATTATTTTTGATAAATTATGAGAAAAATTCTTGAAATATAATTCAATTCTTCTATTAATTTGTAATGAAATAGCTTGAATATTTCAACTATTGTAACTTCAAAAAACGAGAAGAAGTTCTTTATTACTATTGCAGTCTTACAGAAAAATTTTCAAGATATTGAAGCAATAATTAAATAATGTTATCATATTGAATTAGTGTTGCTTTTTGTATTACATTTGTCGATACATTGGGAAATGAAAGTAAGGATAGATTTTCGTCAAATATGTATTTTTTCAAGGAGGATATTTCTTAATAATTGTTTTATTTCATAGTTTTGTTTCAGAAGATCTTATTTTTCTTTTAGAGAAATAGATCATAAATATAGAAACATTCATTATCGACTTTCTCATGAAAAATAATTCAAAAGATAAAGATTAGATTCGAACCAAAGGCGTTCATCGCGGCTGAAAATCTGCCGTTGTCGCACTACGAAGGATTTTGAAAAGTTGCAGCCGCGACACCACATGTAAAAATTGAACCGCGCCGCCGCCACTGCATAAAAAACTTTTACGAAATGATTTTTTCATAAAAATAGGTAAAATATAGGATATAGAGTTAATACTTCTTCTTGGATGAAATACTAATGTAAACAGAAATGAGAAATAGCAAAATTTGTTTACAAAAAAAAGCAGGTTCATTTTTCTATAGGGACCAGAGATGTTCATGGCGTCTGAAAATCTGCCGCTGCCGCGATGAGATTTTGAAAAACGTGCCGCCACGGACATCTCTGATTCGAACCCTGTATGCAGATTTTATTACTAAGTATGACATGTACTTTTTTAGTGCATAGCATTATTAATGTAACTACCTTTCAAATCAAAAGGATTATAAGTAGACAATAATGTATTAATAGCATATTTTATGTTGATGATTGACCTGTCATCTGACAAAAAAAATATACTTTAACACTATATTTCGAAGAGAATATGATTTATGTTCAATCAATTTAAAGATTGTTACTTAAACAGTTAGTTATTAATTAATTTGGTTTGTAAATATATTTAAAAATAGAACCAGTGCAAAAATAAAAAGAAGAAAAGGTTATAAAATGAATCGCTTTTGTTTTTCTTGGATTACTTGACATATATGTTATCATTGTTCTGACCTATTATTGTTAACCTTTTTATTGTTGATTATTTACAACAAAGGAAAAAAAACTTCTAAACTTCTTCGATGATCTTTTTTTTTCTTTATCTACCACAATATATACATATTTAATGTTTTTCAAATAAAAATAAAATATTTTGCGTTAACAATATTTAACGGATTTGTAAAAATGAAAATCATACAAGTTTCTCAACATGAATGTATATAATATATTAGATAAAGAGATTATGGAAGAAGATCATGAAATAAACAGAAATAATAGAACTCGAATAAAAAAAGATGTTTTTCATAATTAATAGTTCAAATAAAATAATAATTAATATGAATATATACAATTGTATGCACTAAGTACAAACAACATCCTAGAGATAAATAATAAAGAAATCAAAGATAATCAAACAATTTGAGAACGTCATGTTTTATTAAGAATTTTAATAATTCTATTGAAATATTATTAATAATTGGTCAATCGAATGAGATTCATTCTCAGTTAATGCAAATATATTTGCTTAGACGAACCAACAATATCTTTAGAATTATGAACTTAATTATATAAATGAACTAAATAAATAAAAGATATCATTTATATTTAAAATGATTCTTCGAAAAATATTATATACTAACGGATGATTTACAATCGATTACAAAAATTGATTTTAAAAACTAGAGCACAACACAAATCAATAAAGTTTAATCAATTCAATAAACTATTTCATATTTAATGTATCGAAGTAGAAAATAATTCACATAGGACAACATTGAAATGCAACTGTCCAACTTTTTACAATAATTCTATATACAAATATATCGTGAGTATGACTATTAGTTTCATATATTGTAGACGATCATTATCAGCAGTAAAGACAGTGCCGATTGATGAGAAAAAAGAAAGAGAAAGAGTATCAAAGGTTAAATCTGGTTTATTCTTACGATAATTCAATTTTCATTCTGATTTATTTTCTTTTTCGTTTATTTCTTTTTTGTATTGTTTAATAACGTTTACTTTTATTTAATAAACTAATCAGTTAAATGACAGTCTATTTTCAAATAGTCTAAATCGTTTAAAATTATTTAAATTAAAAGAATTATTATTCAACTGATGTAATTTGATGAAATATGTTGGAAAAACAATTATCAATGAAAATATCTATACTGAATATTATTTATAAAGCAATTATATTGAAACAAAACAAAACAAAAAAAGACGAATAAAATATTGATAATAGATAAATGTGTATACAACATAAACAATTGTTTATATTTCGAAAGTATATTAATTATGAATAAAAATTATTTTATATCGATGAAAAAGATCAAGAATTTGTTGAGTAAGACTTTTTCGAAATAATTTACTTGTTAATGTATTAATATAAAATGTTTTTGAATAATTCATATAATAAAACCATCTTGCTATAAAACTAAATATAATATACATAAGAAGTTGAAAAAGATCTTTTGGTATTTGATTAAAAAAACCAAATAGATAAATAATCATATATGGAATATTTAATATTATTGTTAATAAAACTTGAACTAATAACATTGTTAACATATGACTATTTCTTCGATTTTGAACAATTATTATTGGAGTTATAGATGATATTTGTCCAGCTGTTATTCTATTACTTCTACTATTTGTTTGAGGAAGAATTCGTGATCGACTTCGTTTCATATTATAATATATTAATAAACCAAATATACACAAAAAAAATGGTGTTATAGCTCCTTTATATAATGAAAAAAAAAATCCATCAATTATAATATATGTTGTAGGTGAACCTATTTCAACTGAACATCGTGTTATATTTGTTAATGGATCTCGAATACGATTATAACCAATTGGTATATGTAAAGAAAATAAAAGCCATATAATTAAAACAATAAACACTATAATACGACTTATTTTAATATTACTCAATTTTCGAATTGTTTGATTTAATGAACTAATACAATATCTATCGATTGATGCAAGTACTATATAACTTGATGATAAACAAGGAAGTATAAACATAATATAATTTCCAAATTTACACCAAATATTTGTTGAATAAATTTGATCTGATAAAGGTTTATTAAATGTTGTTATGATTTCCATAAGAATAAATACATTCATTATAAAAAAATCAACAATTGAAACTGATAAGAAATAAAATGAACATGAATTATTTCGAATTTGTTTTTGAATAAATGTTATTATATTTAATATAGATCCAATTATTCCAATAATATAAAGTATAACAATCATATATCTATCCATTCGTAAAAGAATTTCAGATACTTGAATAATATCACTCATCGAAACAGTTATTGTTAACATTATGTCAAACTTTTTTATTGATCAATACCTAAAACAAAACAAAAAAAGATGCAAGCATAAATTGGTTTTTCTTAAACAAAGATCCGTTTAGTGTATAATAACAACTGACTTACTTATTCTAATAGGATAAAGAAAGTAATTACATAGAATAAATTCGAATTACTAATAATATCATATATCTTTGAAAGATTAAAAGATAGATATAGATCAAAATAAAACATATTATGTGACAACATCCTACTGTAATAACAAACGTTCTTTCTTTTTTTTTTTTTTTGTTTTTTTCTCAAAATCTCTCTAATAAATACTGATATATTATTTTAAAACGAACTAGTTAGTGCAACTCTTTTGAAATTGATCTGTGTAACTGATGTAATTCGTATTATCTAGTATATCATAGAATATAAGTTTTTTTTTTACATCATGATATATACTTTAAAGTTTGAAACAAGTCAAATGAATCAATGAAAGATTTTTACTTTTTCTTTTTATTGATAGTAATAACCATTTCTGTCACTAAATATGAAAATATTTTGTTTTAATAATCATATTCAATATAATAAAGTTGTTATGGATTATTCAATATATAAAACTAAATAGAATTTTGATTAGTGAATAATCAGGAATAAATTTTATGTTTCATCAAGTAACAACATTATTGTTTTTAGTATACTCAAAAAGTGAGTACACTACTAAAATCGGTCTGTGTGTCCGGCCATCCGGCCGTTTACACGATGACTTTCGAAAAGAGAGTCAGATTGCGATGAAATTTTCTACATAGCTTAGTCTTGACAATATCTCGGTCGAGTTCGAAGATGAGAAGGATCCGTCAAGAAATGGCTGAGTTATCGAAAAAATTGTGATTTTTGACCAGACCATCCCTGAGGGGAGGTACGGGGATTTTTTGACAAAAAATTTTTTGCTCACTCTTCGAAAATGTAAATCAATTCTAGAAAATATATCGTACTATTAATAAAATACTTTATTTGATATAATTATACCTGAGTATATGCTTATTCAATATAAACAGTGGGTCGTTAGAAGTTGAATTTTTTTTACATATAGATTAGTATTTACTTTAACTAATTACTTTATTTCGAACTAGTGTTGAATTCGTTCAATTAGTAACAAAATCAGATATCTTAGATTATATTTAAAACCAAAATTAATTTAATATAAGATTATACCTAATTAAGAATGTAAACATTGTTTTCAACCAATGGATTTAGACGTGCTTTCTCGAAGAAAAAAAAAATACTCAGTAAACTAACATCGAACTGTCAATGTTTTGATATTTATTATTCAAGTAAACATGTCCTACTTTTATAAGAATTTTCTTATAGTTATTATTTGCTTAGGCTATAACAATATATCATGTGTATATTACGATAATAGAAACATTAGTTTTTTTTTTAATATTAATCATAGTTAATAATTTTAATATGAAGAATATCGTTTCATTATGATATTGTTTAGTTTTTGTTGACTTATTTCAATCATAATTTTATTTGATCTATTGAAAATTTTCTTTTAACAATGATAAATTTCTATATCATCTTAGAGAATATCTTATTTAAATTAGATGATAAAAATAAATAGAAAAGATTTTTTGTACATTTTATTACAATTAAAAAAAAAATTTTAAAATAAAAATAGTTGATTCTATTGATTATTTGTATTAAAAGGAATAAATGTTCTTGTTATAGTATTTAATCTATTATGGGAATAAATTCGAATAAATTGTTTTCGAAGACAATTTCGAAATAATTCACTTGTTAATGTATTTATATAAAATGTTTTACAATAATTCATATAATAAAACCATCTTGCAATAAAACTAAATATAATATAAAGAAAAAGATGCAATGGATCGAATGATAATCGTCTATAAAAAGTTGATAAATAAACTATTATATATGGTGTATTAAAAATAACTGTAAGAAGTACTTGAACTAATAACATTATAATCATATGTGAATTTTGTCGACTTACAATAGCTCTTGTTCGATTAAGTATATTGTTATTTCCTCTGTATGATTGAAAATGAACTCGTTGTCGACTTACTTTAATATTATAAAATATTAATAAACCAAATATAGACAAAATAAATGGAATAATAGCTCCATTAAATAATGCAAAGAAAAATCCATCGATAACAATAAAAACAGTTGCTGAACTTGTTTGAAGTGTACATCGATCTGTATTTATTGTTATATCTCGAATACGATCATAAGCAATTAGAATATGTAATCCAAATAAAGACCACACTAAAAAAACCATACATGTCACTATACGACTTATTTTAATATTACTCAATTTTCGAATTGTTTGATTTAATGAACTAATACAATATCTATCTACTGATGCAAGTGTTATATAAGTTGATGATAAACAAGGAAGTAAAAACATAATATAATTTCCAAATTTACACCAAACTCTTGTTGAATAAATAAAATCAGATAAGGATTTATTAAATGTTGTTATGATTTCCATAAGAATAAATATATTCATTATAAAAAAATCAACAATTGAACTTGATAAGAAATAAAATGAACATGAATTATTTCGAATTTGTTTTTGAACAAATGTTATTATATTTAATATAGATCCAATTATTCCAATAATATAAAGTATAACAATCATATATCTATCGATTTGTAGAAGAATTTCAGATACTTGAATAATATCATTCATCGATATTTTTGTTGTTATTTCTGTCATGTTTGACATTTTTATTCTATTTTCACTTGATAAACTTAACAATAATGAAACTATTTATATAGTTATTCATTGAAGAAGTTCATTTCGGTGCGTTTGACTAATAGATTTATTTATTATAATACTATAAAAAGAAATCATTATGAAGGATAGTATCATATGTTTATATCTTTTATCTTCTACGGATTAAAATTTGATAATATTGCGAACAAAAAAATGTTTTTCTTGTTTGTTCGTCATAAACTTTAAAATAGGTTAGAATAATCATAAATTTCAAACAACTGATTTACAAAAGTGAAATAAATTCATAGTCCATAATAAAGAGTTCTTGACTTTATCTTTAATATTCAATAGAAATATAGACGATTGTCTAATACATTAAAATTGAATAGAATATTCTATTCAATAAATAAGAATATGAAGAAAACAATATTCGAAGATCTAAACATATTTCAAGTGAGTGGAAATTCAAAAGAGTTTAAATAATGCAATTTAATCATAGAGTTTTATAAAACAAAGCTAAGACAAATAAGTCTATAATCCAACAAATATGAAAGTTGATATTTATTAGAATATATATTTTCATGATATTAGCATTGATTTTTATGTTATTCTAATCGAATAAAAGATTATGCATAAAATTCAATTTCATTTTCATCTTGTTTTTCGTTTTTTTTGCAAACGATCAAAGCATGACATTATATGTGTGTCAAAAATTATACTTAAGTTATCATCTGAAACGGCAACTTTACTTAATTCATATGAATAATAAGAATATATTAAATGGGTAAATACATTTATTAATAAAACTTGAATAATTTTATTTTTATTTCAAATATATTAAAAAAACCGCTATCGAAATCAATTCCAACATTAAAATTTAATAGTAGAAGAATAATAAATGTGTCTTGTATTGAATACATGAATGAGTAATTACTACTTTCCTCAACTTGAATTAAACAAGAGTTAAAAATAAATTTGATTAGTTTTATCGTCGAATATGTTTACTACATAGTATGATATTTTCTTATCAGAGAATTTTATCAATTGATTAAAACATTTTCAGCTCATATTATTTCAGTAAGTAAGTTTTAGTGTTATTACAAAAGTTTCAAAGGTATTTTCTTCCATAAACCTTCCTGATGATATGGCTCATCAAAGTATCCTAAAAATTTCAGAGAAAATTGTTGCTTTCTTTTTGAGACATTCAATCTTGAAGATTAGTCGATTTTCTAAGTAAAGGAGCAAATACTTTTGGAGCTTTTATCATTCCATCAAGTCCTACTTAATTGAAAACTATGAATTAAAAAGCTTCGATAAATGCGGTTCTTCAATGGTTATCTACTTCTTTGATAAAACACGTTATAGAAGAGTTTAACGGAAATTATTCCATATTTGATTTGTTAATTTCGGAAATATTACGTTTGTCATTCTTATATTTTTTAAACATTGTTCTTGAAATTATTATTATACAATTGAAATTGTTATTGTTTAACATAGCATGAATGAGGAATAAAACTTGAAAAAATATCAATAATATAGTGAGATCATTATTCATTACTTAGAAGTTTTAATATATTTGCTATTTATTTAATATCGATAATATGAATCAAAGTTTACTTTGCATAAACAATTATTTTTCTTTTCTATAATCTATTTGTTTATTATTGATAGAAGAATAATACTTTATCAAACGAAGTTGTGTTAAAAAACGAATCAGTTAAATCTATGATCATTTCGACTACATAAATGCTTATCGAATAAATTCATATTTACTTTGTCGGATTATTTTTCATATTCAAATGTCTGATAAAAAGCTTAATGATAGGAATGAACTATAATAACAGTCATTACCAAACGATACCGTTTCAATGCCATATGACTAACATGTGAATTCATTTTATTTTCATATACAAATGGTAAAGATACGAAAAAAGATGAATTTTCATTATGTTATTTTCATAGAATTTTTCGTTTTGATCAATTTTTTATCATAAAATAATGTTAAGTTTATAAATTGTAAAACATATTTTGAATTATTCCGATATGTTAGGTTATAAACAATGAATGCGAGCATCGCTCATACAATTTAAGATTTACTTCTATTTGCCAAACTTTGAACGAATCTATATCAAGAGTTTAAAAAAATAGCACATACTGCATAGATAAGAGTTGTAAATATAGTACGTTACTTTGTGCAACAATATATGTATAGAGTTAAAAGTGATTGATGGTGATATTATTTTAATAATAATCTCTTTTCAATTATATTTAAATGACAAATCATAATGATATTAATTTTATTTAATGTGAAAAATGTATATATATATGTATAGATAAACAAAAATGTAAGATTAAATATTAAATATTAAAAAACAGCTAAAGTCTTTTTTTGTAATACGTGATATTTCGGTATCTATTTCATAGATAGCATCATCAGACGAAAACAACCACCAACATAAACTAATTACACATCGATATCAGAAAACTTCATGTATTTATTTCAAGTTGATTCGTTTTTCTTTCAATGAGTTAACTTATTATATTTATTTTTTGAATGTGGTAATACATTATCTTACACACAATATATTAGGTTATAATAGATCTGATATAGATGTGTGATTAGTTTATGTTGGTGGTTGTTTTCGTCTGATGATGGTATCTGTCAAATAGATACCGAAATATCACGTGTTACAAAAAAAGACTTTAGCTGTTTTTAATATTTAATATTTTATTTTACATTACATAATTATCCATTTATTTTATCTAAAAATGTAAAAAATATGTTTAGGAAAAAAAGACAAAAAATAATTCGTATGAGTTGCATTATAATGAGATGTATTCTAAAAATGATTGTATATATATATTATGTCCAAATTTCATTTAAGCATTCGTTGAATTCGATGAAAATCTGTTTGATATAATTGAAGTCGAGAATGATTTCGAAGTAATGATTGTCCTTCAATGACAATAGCTTGTCTATAAGAGTAGAAAGCTTTTGTAAGATTACCAATGCTTTCATACATTTGACCAATATTGTTATGTGTATCTGCTAATAGGGTGTCTTCCTGATTAGAAGATCTTTTCAAGTATCTTAACACTTCTTTATAGAGCTCGAGTGCTTTGAGACTATCGCCCATTTTCTTATTGATTTCAGCAATTTCATTAAAAATACGAGCCAATTCTGAAAAGTTTACGGGAAGAGATTTTCCCAATATGTCATGCGCATATTGATAATGTAGAGTTGCTTCTGTATAATTTTCCATTTTTTTATGTACTTTACCAATATTTTTATGTGTATCAGCTATTGTTGATCTATCGAGAATAAGACGATGCTGTTGAATTTTAAATACTTTTCGAAAAAATTTCAATGCCTTACTGTATTCTTCCATAATGTAATGTATTTCAGCAATACTTTCGTAGGTTATCGATAAATTTAAATAATTAAAAGTCGTTGACTTCTTGTGAATACTCAATTTTTGTTGATAGAACTTTAATGATTCTGGATAATGTCCCAGGTGTTTATGTACCTCAGCCAAGTTACCATACGTAGTTATTAAATCTGAATGATTTAATGGATTAGATTTTATTTCTATATCTAATGCCATTTGATGAAATTTTAATGCTTGTAAATATTCTTGGTTATGAATATGTACTGATCCAATGTCATTGTAAAGTCTAGTCATATTTAAATGATTCGAATTAGGGAAGGATTGATAGATGTTCAAAGTTTTTTCATATAAACTAAATGCTTCTTTATGATCACCTTTATTTTGTTTGACTGATCCCATAAGATGATAACGATGGGCAAGTCCTTCCAAATCATCTTCGGATGAATTCTTAATAAGTATTTCGGAGACTTCTTCGGCTTTATCAACATTTCCCATATTCAATAACAATTTTCCTAGTCGATCCCAACCTGTTGATTCTTGTGTTGCTTCTCGAATATTTTCAGCAAGTTTCTTTAGATCTTTGTCTTCATCATTTGTCATTGAGAGTTCCACTTGCCATAACTTATGTTGAAGTTTTGTTATTTCACCTATTCGAAATATACTATGCATAGCAAATAAACATTCGTCTTCCGTTTTGTAGTAGCTTTCTTCATTCAACGAAGCGAATAATGCAAATTTAAGAGTGGCAGCATCAATATGTATATGAAAAATAACGCCTTCCAATTCCGGATTTTCTCGATTACTTAGAGCATATGTAAGAGCTACATTTCTATTGGTACTCGTCGATAAGAATTGGTGAAACGAATAAAGACCATCTTTTCGCAAACGTAACTGCTGAAGATCTGCGTAGGATAATCCTTGACCTCGATACAAAATCAATTCTTCAGACGGTTGTTTATACAATTTTTCAATTTGTTTATGCAGTTCTCGTATAAAGAATCTTATTTGTATAATAACATTAATCTCTTTTAATCGTAATGCTTGATTAATCATGTCATAAAGAAAGCAACCACGAGTGTACCACCATATAGGTGTATACATATCGTAATTTAGTTCTAATTCGTCAATGATGTTCATTCTATCTAAGTCACCAATGTTATTTTTTCGACAAAATTGAATGAATTCTTTCTTTGCTTTACTATCATCTTCCATATCAAGAATAACTTCTTTTAATAATTTTGTATACATAAAAGATGAATCAAGACGATTTAAATCGATACTTTCCATACTAATTGCAATAGATTCTCGACGACATTGTTGAATGTCTTGTTTGAGTTTTTCACAAATTTTATTGATATCAATAAAAATACCTTTAATCTTTGTCCAATCTTTTATCCATTGTTTATCTTTTGGCATAGTTTTGCAAAATATAAAGATAGCATGAACTTGAGACAAATTATGAATATGAAACAGTGATGATTTATTTAAATCATTGGATAAAATCAAATAGATCGTTTCATCTGTTTTCTTTTTAAGAAAATTCATGCATTCTTGATAACTTCGAAATAGATTAATTGTTGTATCAACAACTTGTTGAAGTTCACATATCGAATATTCATAGTCTACAATGAATTTCATGTCATTCGGATATAAACAAACGAGTCCAAATGGATGAAGAAAGTGCACTTGCGATTGTGTTGTCGAATGTTCTGTATCTGAGGTTGTTTTATCTGTGCTGTTGAACGAAGTTGACACTAGTTCAGTCTTTATAGGAAGTCTTGCTGACGACGCAGGTTGTTCATCGAATAATATTCTTTTCCTTGAGTGCCTATCACAGATTGGCGACAGTCTCTTTTTTTCTTTAGCGATCACACTATTCTTTCTCGGAGTAGACATCGAAGTTCGCTTGTTAGAAATGATCGCTGGTAATGGCTTTGTATTCTTGACTGTGCAGCTATAAGCTTTAGAGAGTGTACCTGATTTGCTAGTATTTACTGTTTTGGTTACATTAGTTGTCGATATGTAAGTTGATCTTTTTGCGGTAAGTGGCTCTAATTTGGCTCTTCTGACACGGACAAGAGCATTTCTTTCGGTGATTGAAATAGGGTTCGTGGATGATACGAAATTCGTTCTTTCCATTACAAACAAGTCACGACCGCAATTACTCGTGCAGTTTGAACTAAAATAATATTGAATGATAGAAGAATCTTATATTACAGCGAGATCCTTTATTTATAAATAGATTTATCATGCATGACAGTGACTTTTCAAAAGAAGCTGACACTTAACAGAATGCTCACTACAAAACTATCCTAGTTCGCTAAAAAGATTCTTTTTCAATTATTTTCCTCAAAATGAAAGATCTGCTCGAATCATAGGCAAATCCAACATATTAAACTGATTAATTCTCCAGTGAAGAACGCGAGCTAAAACAAATGTCAAAGGTTTATTCTAGGAGACATTTCACTAATTCAGTTTAACACAAAATTACATCAGCCTAAATCCAATTTAAAGGAGTTTAAATGCATTTATAAAAATTGGAGTAAAATCCATTGGAACCCATTCGCATTTCTTTTCATAGGATTTAGATCGACGAAAATTGATTTAAATGGATTTAAATCCGAATTTAATGTATTAAAATGCAATCAAAACCTGTATGAATACAATTTAAGTAGGTATAAATCGATTTAAATCCATCTAAACCTAATTGCAACCTAAAATCAATATAATTTCGTGAATTTGAATTGAAACGATTTTACACTTTTATGATAAAGAAACTTAAATTTTCAACAATTTATTTTGCAACTTGATAAATATTTGTAAACGTAAAATGAGGCCTACTCATTAGATAGAGAACACTATAGGCTACTAATTCATTTGATGTCAGTAATCAAAGAGTAAAAGAAAGTACTATAGGTCAAAAAGCACTCAAAACTCGGGATATTAATTCTTTCGAGATAACGGTATTTTGAATTTTTCCTGTATAGTACATGATGTCCAACAGTTTTTTTTTTTAACCAGATCAAGATCTCTTCAATATATTTTTGTTAACATCAATTTATTTAGCGTACAAAACCTAGGGTACTAATTTAGAATGATGGTTACAGGAATTTCAATCCACGAAATTTTGAGCAGTCATCCTATTCAGCAATGTTGAACATGGCGGAATCAGTTCCGCTCAATTCTGGGAACTCGTTCACCATTCAACACAGGAAGCCTAATCGATATTAATCGAGTTCTGTCGATTCCAGAATTCCAGAAATTAGTTCCAATTCCGAAATCGGACGGAATTACTTATTCAATTGATTAACTTCAAACACATCAGTGTGCATGAGGGTGAAAGTAAGAAGGAATTCCGTCATGGAATTCTGGAATTACATGGAATTCCTGAAATTGACGAAACTCGATCGGTATCGATTAAGGCTCGCATACTGAATGGTGATCGAGCTTTCGGGATTGGGCGGAATCGATTTCGGAAGCGGAGCTGGTTTCGCAATGTTTGACGTCTAGTGATAGGACGTATTCTCGGAACTTTTAGCTCATCCTTAGAACAAAATGATTGACCCTTTACAAAAATTGTATTCTCAAAAACAAGTAGCCTATTATCGTATTGCTGAGCAGAGCGCCGCGGTACTGAACGAGCTGTTGTGGTGCTCAACGGAGTGTCATAGTACTGAATAGGTAGGCTTGATGCCCAGCAAGATAATATAACACTGAGCAATATGCTCGAATCCTATGAGAAGTTAGGTTATTCTTTCAAATACTCATCAGTCTTTTGGAACAAGTTCGAACATTAAAAATCCTACTATTCATGGAACCATCAAATCAGGGCAAGGTTGAGTGAAAATGTTTTTGTCAATCTTCCTTCTGCTTACGTATGCGCAGCCACAGACCCTTCATGCCCTACGACGCTTCGCTCAGCATCACGATAATAGGCTACTTATTTTTGAGGGCTTGATTTTTGTAAAGGGTCAATCAATTCGTTTTAAGGATGGGCTAAAACTCTGGTCAGAAAATTCCGTAGGCCAAACTTCCTGTAGCCCTAGAATGAGTCATACTGTAGTTCGTCATACGTAGTGATCGTTATTTCTAATTGTGGAAGTCATAAAATAGCTTTCAAAATTGTAAAACAGGCTTCAGATTCATGTTCAGCTCACGAAACGCGATTGGGCAAGTTACTTTATTCTGCTTTTCCCCTCAGATTGAATGCAGTCAACAGTAAACATGTACTAATTAGTTAATTGTTACCTATTTAACTCGTTCAGCAGTATTTGAGTTTTTTATGATGGAGTACAATTACATTAGCTTAATGCTATGAAAATACTGGTGAGTAAAGATATTTGTGTTTGGCTCGATTACGGATTTCTTGTTGGTGCATAGATTTATTTCTATCAATTATCGGACAGACTATATTCTTCTCTTCATAGGAATGGGAAGTTATCTTTATCAAGTAACGAAGAACGGGTACCAGAGAATGTGTGTGTTTGGTTATTTCACAAACGAAATGGTCTTAAGAGTAACTAATGATTTTTTTTAATAAAATTTGATAAAAAAATCGCGGAATAGTAGTGACTTGACGAAGAAATCAAATCCATTGATTCGAAAAATCGAACATATATGTCAACTCCTCGATACCGACGGTTTTTTATCAAAACTCATAAAATATCACTTGTTCTTCAAAACAACGCTCTCTTTAGTAGTAAAAGGAACAAATGCACAAGTTTTCTATTATGTCCTATTCGTTATTTGTTAATAATAACTTCTTATCTTAGTAAAGAGAAAAGTATGCTCTATATGGTAACTAATAGCCATTTAGCTATGTACCAGTATTTCTTTAAGAGTTAGGCTGATGTAATTATGCTGGGCAAAAAAGAATGAATGCTACTGAACCGATGAAATAAGTGCCAGTTAACCGAATGATCAAGATAATGAGTGCAACTTAAAAGTATATATGAAAAATGTAGGACTGGTTGTTTCGAGAGTAATTCTTGAATATTGTGTGATTTCGAGTTCAGATTTTCCCGATAGATAGCCCTTCCCGAAGACTACAAACCTGTGTATTTATCTAATTCAAAAAACACTTGAGAAAGCTCCAAGCAGAGTACTGTTGGAGCATGATTCTTCACTTTTTCGACGGTTACTGCCGAGAAAAGGTCCCTAACTGATCCGTCGCTTTTGAACCAAAATTTTGTTCATAAGTAGGGAACCTATAGACTAGAAAAAGACTAAGAGGATATGGGCACATGCTGCGATTTGTCTAAGATATTCAAGTTTTACTTAAAATTCCCTGCAGGAGCCTGATTTTTCAGAAAAAATCATATTTTCTAATTTTAACCTGAGACTTTGCCCATATAAAGCCCTCAATTAGAGTATCTTATGGAAAAAATTTTGGAACTTTGAAACATAGTACCACAGAGACATGGATGGTTTAAAATATTCATGCGTTATACAGTATCAATGGAAAGTATCTATATTTAGGAAAACTTATATCTCAATGGTATCGTGTCGAAAAGTTCTGAAATTTTTTGTGTAAGGTAGTCTGATTGAGGGCTTTATGTGGGCAAAGTCTCAGGTCAAATTTCAAAAATACGATTTTGAGAGGAAATCAGGCTTTTGCAGAGAATTTTAAATAAAACTTAAGTATCTTCGCCAAATCTCAGCACGGGCCCATATCCTCTTAGACCTTTTCTACTATATAGGATCTCTACTTAGCCGCAAAATATGGCATCAAAATCGACGAATCAGTTAGAGACCTTTCCTCGTCAGAGGATTTTCGTTAGAAAACAACAATTTTAGTGAAAACTTCTATTATATTCGAAATGATCAGTAAGACCTGAGTCGACCTATATATAATAGAAATATTTCTGAAGATTTATCTTTTTCTCATACATTCCAAGTTCTCTTAAAAGTTGGCCGAAAAACAATGTCTACTGGAAGGACCATCGGCAGACGACTAAGTCTGTACTATGTACAAAAGTCAAGTCCTTTAGATAACAAAAATACAACTTAAAGCGTTTAATTTCGGGCGCCAATGACGATAGGTCATTGTCTTGGCTACAAATTTTCCGGATAAGTTGAACCTTAAAAGTATACTGTTGTTGGTACAATCTATTTTAAGTTACAATACTTATTCAAGCTAATGAAAACTCACTTTGTATGACAATATCCCTATTTTCCTGTCTAACATTTATTTTAACCTCATGAACTGCCATTTGAATATCAATTTTCACATTACACAAAGATAGATAAGACAATGAATTAATTATTGATATTTAACAAAATTATATGTTTTCTAAATGGTCTTTCTAATGACTAGTAAAATGTGAGTGTTAAATATTCTACAATGATGCTTTAAGTAAAAAAAAACAAAAAAAGAATGATCTTCTCTATCATATTTTTTGTATATTAAGCCACAA